TTCCGGGGGGGGGGGGAAACTGGAGCGCCGACGAAAGAAATTCTTGCTCAGCGTCCTCGTTGGCAGCGGCCGCAACGATCCTGCCCGCCGCATCTCGCCGCCGCCGCCGCGCCGGTGTGCAGCGACGTGAAGTTCTTGCCGCGGCGCAACGACGCTCTCTTCCCTCGAATATAAATAAATGAACTGCGTCCACGTTCTTGCATCTTGCTCGCGTTTTCATACACGGGAGGGGGGGGGGAGGAAGAATACTGCATTGGAAGATTTATCGCGCGAAACCGCGGCGCAAAACGTGGGGAAGGAAGAAGGGGGAGGGGAGGGATTAAAACGGAGTAACGAAGGGTAAAAATTGCACGGCGCGGTGATAAACGAGGATCTAAAAACTTCATTTAACGTTGACTACAATTAGTTTTCGCGCGTTGTGCCTTTCATTTCCAAACCGTTCCCTTTACACGGGGAACGGGATAACGACTATCTAAAAGTCCTCAATCCGTCCTTTAATTAATCATAAACAGCGAGAGGGTAAAGGGCCGCGCTCGCTCGCTCGCTCGCTCTCTCTCTTTCTCTCTCTCTCTCTCTCTCTCTCTCTCTCTCTCGAATTCGTTCGCTAAAATTAGCCGGGATTACGGGACACCCTGTATGCGCTTCCGCGCAGATTTATAAGCCGTGAAAGCCAGCGAAAGTCGAGTGCTCTCGGCTATCATTGAGAGTGCTCCGGGCAATAGCGACTCTCCGGCCACTTCGGTCAATTTAACGTAATCTCGCCGGCGATTGAAAGACAGATCGGGGGTCCAAAGAAACGCGCGAGATCGCCGGTGAAGGAGTCATTATGGCGCGAATGAAAGAGGCCTCGTATAACGCGTCCGTTCCGTTCCGACGCGACGTGGCGAACGATCACCGCCCCGTCGCCGCCGCCGCCGCCGTGCCGTCGCTCCGTTAAGCGACAGATCGTTTGACAGTCGTGACGCTCGCCCGAAGGCGTGACTGTACGGCCGATCTTAGATTAAAGATAACTCGCGTCTACGAGATCATTTATAGCTCCCCCTAATCAATTGCAGAATGTGTATCGTGCAGCTACGTGACGCGAATGACTTCGCGGAATGAGAAATGAATAAGCCCGAGATGTGTAACGAGAGATACCATAAACAATATTAATATGATCGATACGAAGTATTACGTAAAACGTTTATTTTTTAATAATTTTGCTCCTCGTATGGTGCTATTATTTATAAAACATTACTATTCCTGTACACGGAAATGAATCGGTTGATATAAAAAGTACATATTAAAAAAAGCATGCAATTGCATTTTAAAAAAGCTTGCAATCGGTAGTTGCAGATTCTCTTTTTAAATACTTGCGTTCTTTTTACATCAATTAATTCATCTCATTATTCTGCGCATAAAAGACCATTCAATCAAATCGCTTATTGAAAAATAAATATTCACGAGATATATTTCATTTTATATTGAATTTAAATACAAAAATATTTTATAAACTGTATATATTTTTTTTTATTACTAGTTTAATATTTTAATGTGATTAAAGAAAATCCAGTTATACAGAAAAACATATATGATTTCGTTCTATCAAATATATCAATCACGCGATAAAAATGCAGTAATATAATTAATACGATATTTGAGATTTAAACATGTTAAAATAAAAATAAAATATATCTCATTAATTATTGACTTTTGTGAAATATTCATTTCTCGATGACTCTTCATTTCCCTTTATGACTCTCCAATTCCCTTTATGACTCTTATGCGCGTGAAACGGATCGATTGTAAAGAAGGTATATATTTGCATTTGCCTCTCTGTGTGTTCAGATATCAACGAATGCGTGGTTGATAATGGCGGGTGCAGCGAGGTGTGCGAGAACACCGACGGGAGCTTCTTCTGCGCCTGCGACGGGGACGAGAAAGCCCTGTCATCCGACGGGAAATCCTGCGTAGGTACGTGCTCCTTGACAAATCACTTTCCGCGCCTCGTTCATTTCGCGCGAGAGACGTGCCGCCGCCCGTCGCCGCCCCCGTCCCCGGTATGACACGATGATCGAACGCGATGGGTGAACGCGCGACGGATGAACGCGATAAGTGAACACGATGTACGGGGCGCGCAGGGGTGCGCCTCATTGCCGCCTTCCCTTCGCCGAACGATTTTAATGCGCGACTTCTTCGCGCGGAAAAAAAAAATTGTTGCTCAATATGCCGCGCCGGTCCTCCACCCTCCCCCTCTCCCCCTTTTGTCATAAACTTCTTAACGTTTTCAATTACGTGTAACTTTGTAAATTTCGAAGCTGTTCGCGTTAACCGGGAGGGAAGCGTACCGACCGGCGCTCCCTCCTCTTCCTCTTCCTCCTCCTCCCCCGGTTAGCCGGCGGCGGCGCATCCGCGAGGGTAGCATTATGCAAAGCTGTCACGCAGGAGCGACTTCCACCAGGACGCGTCAGCCGCGATAGGACCTTCCTCCGGTGTGCCGCGCGCCATTGGCATCTGTAATTCCTGTCTTATGTACATACATACATACCTATCGTATTTGATACGTGGGAGCGTCGCGCGGCTGACGTGGCTGACATAATACCGCGTCGATGGGGCGAAGGGAGGTCCCGCTTTGAGAGCGCTGTACATAGATTACGCTCGGAGCCCGCGCCCGCCGCCCGAGCTTTATGAGCCACACGTGAACGCCAGGCTCGTGCATTCACGCACGCACGCACGCACGCACGCACGCACGCACGCACGCTGGTTCGAGGCAGTGTACTTACACTTATAGCGCGCGGGCACAATAATCGATATCTGACTCCGCCAATGAGAGCGCACCCGCTAAATCGTTTATTTTATTCCCACGGTCGCCAAGGGATAAAGTGATGTCGCGTTAAAGGAAAAGAGGAAGCTCCTTTCTATCGTTTTGTATTCGAATTGTATTCAGAAGTTTATGTAAATTGGAAACCGACATAAATTGGATGCTCTTGAACGAGAAATATATACTTAGTCGTGGAATAATACCTATCAATTCGGTAAGAGCGTCTCGAAGCTTTTATGATGTGAAAAAAAAAAATTCTTCAAATTGCAATTCAAGAAGTATAACGAACATTATATCCTCTTTCTTGAATCGATGACAGTTCCGTTATGGTGATCGGAGCTTCCGCGTCACGAGAGACGCAGCATGGATTATGTAATATCCCGGAACTGTAATCCTCATTCCATTCGTTTCAGACATAAATAGTATCGCGTGCCTGCCGTTAAATCCGATCGATCGCGGCTATTTAATATGCTCCCGATCAGCCACGTCCAAGTTGTGGCGCGACAGGCGAAAAGTGCCCAATCGACCCGGCACGAGGTGTTTCCTCAAGTGCCCCCGTGGGTATCAGCTTCGCGGTGAGTACGAGTTGACCTGTCGATCCGACGGCACCTGGGACGGACCGCAGCACGGAAAGTGCGTCAGTGAGTATGGATCTTTCTATAAAAAAAAAATCGTATCGTCCGACGATTTATTGGCGAGGAATAACGATTTTTGTTAGTACCTTTCCGCCGTGTCTCGATTTTAGATCGCAAGATACTTTAAAATTGATAGATAATTAAATTTCCAACGAAGCGACGAGTTCTTTAAAAATATTGAAGTTTCATTAAACTTTTCGAGTTTCTCTAAAGCGGCGCTTCCAAGTTGTTTTTCAAATTGCGATCTGAACAATTTTTCTCTTTTTTTTTTCTTTCTTCCCAAGACACGGCCGGAACTTTATGGAGACGCTCGATTGAAAGATCCAACGACGAATGTTGTTCTAATGATATTACTCGTAGAAAATTTCAAGTATCCGTACAGTAAAATCGAGAGGTACGTTTATCCGTTTTTTTTTTATTTGAGAAAAAGAAGTAAAACGTTTTCGCGTTCTCACGGTGTCGCCTGAAAGATTGGCGCGATAACGTATATCGGCGATGTCGAATATCGAACCCCCGTTCTTTCTGCCCCGCCGACAGGATATAGCAAGCCCCGATTGGAGTGTCCGAAGGACGTTGTAGCCGAGTTACCGCCGGGCAGGGACGAAGCGTTCGTGACCTTCGATCAACCGGCGACGGACCTCGATTGGTTCCGATACGTGCGATCGAAGCCGTCCTGGGGCACGCGGCTCGAGGCGAATCTGGAGCCCGGCGTGCACGAGGTCACGTTTTTCGCGCGTCACCCGGTATCGAAGAAGCAGGCCAGCTGTGTATTACGCATTATCGTCAAAGGTAATTAATTTGCGCGGATGCGTGTTAACGACGTATTACGCCTGTAAGCCCCGCGCTAACGATGATTCCCGTTCGAGAGGCCGGCCGTGATAATCTGCACGGCTCCCACCTCTGCAGCGGGCAGAAATAGCGATTATTAATTCGTAATTGCCCAATCGCGGCACTCCCTGTCCGCTCTGCCTGTTCCGACAACACGTGTACACACATGCCCTTCTCGAAGTTAATTATCGCTATCGGAGTTTACGTTTAACAGAGGCGAAGTATAACCTTTGCGCGTTTTTTCGAAAACGTTTTTCCTCGTTGATAAATTTTTTTTTTGTTTTTTTTTTTAACCTGCCGCAAAAACCGCCGCAAAAACGATTTACCGTCGTTGAACGATCGGTTTAAATCATGCTAACCTAAATATAAGCTCCCTGAAAACGCGGGGTGATCGTTCACTTAGGGGTCAGTTTCCCCACTTACTCCACGGTAATCCACGATACACCCCCGCATTAATTAATCCGGATTATAGAGATTGCACTTTGCGGAAGATAGTGGATAAACGTCTCCCTTGAACCTTCCCTCCCTCCCTCCTCCCGCAGAATCTTGATTAATAACGGATGGAGATGGGAACCAACGCGCCGTGTTAGATCGACTAATTCCATCAGGAGGGGAACACATGTTAAATAAACTACACTCGCGCGCAGGATGGAGACGCCCCCCTCTTCTCCGCCCCCTCTCCCCTCACTGTACATCATTTAGCCGTCGCAGAAACTTCGCAGTTTCTCAATGATTAACAGCGCGAGATTGAAATATTTCCCTCCTTTTGTTTCCGTTTCTTGGCGGCGCGCGTTGATAACTCCGCTGCTAGGATTCGCCAACTCGCGCGCGACGGCGAACGGAGGACGGAGGTACACACTCGGGGCACACGGTGGTGTAAACACGGTGGTAACACAAGCTCTCGCAGCGGGCGGGCAGGGTGGAGTAGCGCGCGAGTTGGCAAATTGTTACGTCGCCTCATAAACGAACGTCGTCGTATCAAAAGTTCTCCGCGTCTCGCCCGTTAAGGCCGGGGCGTCGGGATCCTTTAGATGCGTCTTAAGAATATTACGTCCCACCCTGTGCGCCTGCACCCCAACTTCACCTCCTCCACCGCCGCAGCCCGCTGCCGCCTCCCCCCGGTCTACTCTCCCGACGCATCTTGCCGGGACGTGAGCGAAATACGCGCGGCAGCTCGTTGCACCGCGAGTTAAATCCTTATATGATTCCGAGTAAACTTACTTCTCGTGGCAGGGAAATTATTACCGGTAAATTATTACCATCCTTCTCTCGTGAAGAAAAAGAGAGAGAGAGAGAGAAAAAAACTCTTTCGCCACCTTTCGCGCCCCGCATCGTTCGCCGATGCTGTGCCAATTCGATTTTGCATCGACAAGCGTTGAAATACGCGTCGCGTACGTGTAGAGAAATGCAGTTTTCATACACGTCTGCAGGAATGTCTTCAGCAGTTTCGAGTGTACAAGTCCCGCTGGTAAAAATGGCGGAAACAAACCGCGATCCTCGGGACTGTTTACCTCCTCGAGAGTCAAAGTCCCTTTCGGACGATTTAACACACCGCATCTCCGAACGCGCTCTTGCGTACCTATACGGTGTATATATAGGAGGCTGCAGGGCTTCGTTTAATCGGACGGCATTCCGAGGCTCGTATTCGACCCCGCGCGCGCGAATCTTGTAAGATTACAAGCGCGCTCTCATTTGTGCCGCCTAAAAGTAAGTTGACGAAACTAATTTAATGCAAACTCCGTAGCTTCATCACTGACACTCGAGCCAACGAGCTTTCTCGGGGAAGAAACGGGGACTGCACAGGCTGGCCTGATTCCGCGCGGACAGGCCCGCCCCGCGCGCGCAACTCGACTCGCCGCCGCCGTTTCTTTCTCGCGAGCGGTACATAACGAGCGGAGGACTTGGCGCGTGAATAAGCTTTTCCAGACCGACGAGTGTAGGCGATGCAAAAGGGAAAAATATCAAATTATACTTCCTTTCTCTTAAGAGAGCATAAATTTTTTTTTCTCCTCTCCCTCGTCCATTTGTTCTCTCTCTCTCTTTCTCTCTCTCCTTCCGGATGAAAAATATATATTTACCGGGGACGAGGATACACGCGCGCGCGCGCGCAGCAGAAAAAACTTGAATTAAGCTTGTCCCCCATCCCCCGGCTGTTTTATGACTCCGACGTCACGTTACGCGCGACGAGCGATAAATGAACCTCGCTCTCTTCAGGGGAGGAGGAGGGAGAGGGACTTCTTCCACTTTGCCCGTACTTCTCGCGCTCGCGCTCCGCGCGCCAAGTCGCCGATTCATCATTCGACGACGACGCGGAAATCGAACTTTCTGACGTCGTCGTCGATTCGATTCCGCCTGCGAGAGACGAGTTTTCTCACGGCCCGCAATTTCCTCGCTCGAGGCGCGGCGCGGCGCGACGCGACGCGATGCGATGCGGCGCGCTGCCGACAAAACGAGCAAGCGGGAAGATCCTCCTCGCCGCGCCGCGCGTTACTTCAATTTTCCTAATCCCGCGGAAACTTCTCTAGGCGGCGAAGCACCGAAAGTCAAAGATTGTCCGCGGGACATCGAGGTCGTCGGGAGGAACGGAACGGCGATCACGTGGACGGAGCCGACCTTCACGGATAACGTGAAGGTGACGCGGATCAGCAATAATGAGGTAAGGATGTAACTGTGTGAAAATTGTATTAATTATCCGCATTTTCGTGAAAAAAAAAAAAACGCGAAATTACACGTTCGTTTCGGGCTGGTCGCGGTATCGTAATTACGCATGAATAATTATAATTGACATTCCGATGTACACGTTCTACAAACCGATGTCCACATAATTACCCAATAATATCAACGCTATCTGGTATGTTTGATTTCCATCTCTCGAATATCCGACACGGTAGTAAACGCGAATAAAAATTGCTCGATATCTCGATAATCGATGTTTATGCATCATAAAAAGCTGTCGTTTCGGCATGTGCATTCGTATATACGCACACCAGCGATTATCGCGTATCACGTATCAGCGTCCGGGCTTGATAATCGCGCGGACGCTGGGGTGGGACTGGACGATTTTCAGCGAATCGTTAATATTTCGCAAAGCGTGAAAATGCCCATTATGTGATATTATCCCGACGTAACATATCGAGATTGCCATTTTATAAACGAGCGAAAATCCGCCGGGCATAGAGATACGGATGCGATAAATTAAGTTGCCGATAAATGTGTACGTGTGATCGCGGACGCGCTCTTCTAATAACGTTGAGAATCGCGTCGCGTCGCGTCGCTGGGGGACAATTTCCTTTGCAGAGAGAGAGAGAGAGCGAGAGAGAGAGAGAGAGAGAGAGAGAGAGAGAGAGTCGCATAATAATCGCGGCACGCCGAATGACTAATTAATTAACGCTGATCTCTGAAATTAACGCGCGATATCGGAATGTAGGAACTGTATCGCCGGCTCTAATTAGCTTGTTTGTCGACGCGGCGTCAATTATTACCCGAATTGGTACACCTAGCTCCGCGTCATTCGTCCCAGAACCTGCATGCGCTTTTTGATAAATAATGCAAATTTTTGGTGCGGTGAGACACGGGGACGAGCAAAAGCCCGATTCCAGGTACGAAAGCCGCGAGCGTAAAATTAGTTAAGCGTAATTTTCCACTGCAAGAGAAAGAAAGGAAGAGAGAGAGAGAGAGAGAGAGAGAGAGAGAGATATGCGAATTTTGGGAATAAATCCGACAGGAAGCGAGCTTCCCGCGCGTGGCTCGTGCCAAAAATTCTCGCGCAAGCTCACCGCCGCGCCGGAAGGGTGATATTCACTTGTCGGAAGTCGGCGGCGAATTTCGCACAGCAGATCTCCCTCTCTGCTCTCCCAAAGTCCACCTTATCGTCGCGTGCCACCGCCGATTTCTCCGCCGGCGGCGACGACATTTTTCCGTCTTATACCTTTGCCGCAGAGCCCGGGTCGTCGCTTCGACGTCGGCGGTCACAGGATCGAGTACGAGGCGAGCGACGAGGCCGGCTGGTCGAGCAAGTGCGTCTTCGCCGTGGTCCTTCGTCAGGAATAAACGACGACGAGGCGCCGGAGAGATGCGAAACGGGGAACGATCAGGGACGCGCGGGAGCGAGAGGAAGGAGGAAAGGGGAGAAAGTGTGAGAGAAACGAACGGAGAGAGAGAGAGAGAGAGAGAAGAGGGAAGAAGCAACGCGGAAGAATAACGATAAGGTAATATAAATGGAAATGCTACGGGAATCGGGCACACAGACGTTTTCCTTACGTATAGGCCCCCGTAATGGATTCCGTTTTGTCCGGCAGGTTACACGCGGGAATAGTGTGAAAGAGAAGGAGAGAAACGGATATCCTTTCGCACGTACGGGTGCACCCCTTTCTCAGCCCTCTTCCTCCCCCCCCCTCTCCTCCCCCCTCCTCGCGTACTCTCGCGACGCACCCCCTCGGGCATAACGAAGTTTTAGGAGGACAGGGATGACGAAGTACGTAACGATTAGCCGCTAGATTTATGCGATCGAACTCCCACGTCGACTGCCACTTTTTTTAATAGGATAACGTACCTTACGTAATAGTTCGTATAGCGTCGTAACGAAAAGAATTTCACTTCTGTAAGAAGCGAGGATCGTTGTCTCTTTTGTGCAGACAAGGGGAAAGGTGCAGGGGACTCATGTTCACAGGTATATATATATAGAAATGCGAAAGCCTCGCGATGGCTCGTGCCAAAATAATTCCTGTTACACGTCGCTCGTGGTCAAATTCCTGTGAAATTTTCGCCGTGAACCACGCGGGGTCTCCGATTTTGTTGATCAACGGCTATCGCGGCGGCGCATTCCTGCCTTCTCCTCCCTCCTCCCTAATCACCAATGTCCCGGCGCAATTTTTATTGCGATCGCGGGAAAGTATAGAGCTACGGTTACGTAGCTACATTACGTACAGCTACCAGCTACATAATGCGTTAATAACCGTATTACACGGGACGAAATTCGCGTTATCGATTCCCGCCGTATGTACGTTGAACAGAGAGTTAACGGGCACCGATTACGTCGTCGTTGTGAGCTCCCGATGAACTTCCGCGCGCGCGCGTGTGCGTGCGTGTATGTGTGTGTGTGTGTGTGTGCGTGAGACACAGCATTTCTCGCGAATATATTCCGCGCAAATTAACGGCGGCTGTCTCGCGTACGAGGCTCACCGCGCCACCTGATTTCTTGCCCGCGACAAGACATTCCCGCCGAATGTGCATCCCACTGACAAGGCCAGACAATGGAGAATCAACGCGTGCCTCGCCGTCAAAATCACACACGCGGGCGCCGAAATTCCGAGCGAACTGACGCGGAATCGGATGTTAAGTCTGTGTTAAGTCGCACGAGTCATCGCGGTTTAGGGATTAATATTTAGGGATTGTACTGATAGAGAGAAATGGAGAGAAAGAGAGAGAAATACAAATGTTAGCAGCACTTCAGCACTTGGTCGCGAAATTTTAAAATATCTTATGTAACACGAATATCGAAATACAAATGAAAGCCATTGAAAGCAAACAGTGTGTGATATGTAATGTATACTTATATTCCATATAACTTGGCTCAATATTAATTATGGAATTAATTGTTAACGTTTCGCATAATGCGTTTCGCTGTAATTTTTAATTAATAATAATTTTCTTACGGTGCGATTAGTAACCGTACACTTCTACTATATAACGTTTTAATTATTTTAACTATCAGCACTCACAAATTCATCGATCGTTTCGCAAAAAAAAAATTACCGACCATTAGGAAACATCGTCGTCGTTTCTCCTTATTTTTCTCTCTCTCTCTCTCGATTCTGCTTTACATTAAATGACGAATAATAAATTCTCGAGGTGCGGGAAATGAAAGGTAATCCCACGAAGGTAGGTACGAGTTGCGAGTGGTGTGTTTACAGAGTTGGCGCGACGAATAATTAACTGCCGTCTAATTACAACGTTCTGTCACGGGTGAAATGCGCGTATTCGTAGGCAAACGGAAATCCCGCCTTCTTAAAGCCTCTCGGTTGACGTGAGGTCGCCCTCGCAGTCTTTCTTTCGTCGTAAATGACGTAAATCATTATCGGTTACTCCGCGTAACCGATAACGAGAGAGAGAGAGAGAGAGAGAGAGAGAAACCCTCACGGAAAACACGCTTGTTTGCGCAAGCTCTCATTAATTCGCGCTCGCGCGAAACCTACAACAATTGCCCACGTTTGCGTCATTGATCAATTAATAGTGCTCGTTATGTAAGCTGGTAGCGACCGGGGTGCGTTTAATAATCACGGCGCCCCGATGCGCGGTCCTTGCACTAAACGACGAAATATCGTGTAGTAGCGCGAAGGGCGAGGGAGAAGCGCGGACTACCGTGAAATGAGCTCAGATCGCACGTAACCTTTGGTAACCGGTGTAAACTTTGCGCCGCACTGCGAAACGCGTCGCATTTAACGGGAGAGAAAACGTAGCGTAATTACGTAGCGCTTGAAGAGGTTGTAAGTATCCTCTTAGATTGATTTCTCGTCGAATTAAACGGACGATTACGAAATTCCATGTACATAATCTTTTCTTTTTTCTACGTGGAGTTACATATTAAAAAAAAAAAACTTAAAAGAAATTTTATATAATTCTCTATCGTGTTCTCCGATCCAGAATTTTATCCTTGCCGCAGGGGTGCGGCATCCAACCCCTCCCCCCCCCCCGTGTCTGCGGTCAGCGCGAAGACAGATAGAGATATTTCGTTTACTATATTTATTAATATTCCCGTCACTCGCATATCATTGTTACGATTACGATTGTCATCGTATACGTATATTAATATAGATGTATAAAATTTATGTATTAAATATACGTGTATACATACACATGTACGTATGTATATTACAGAAAAAGAGAAATATCCAGATGATCTGCGCGAACCGTCGCGGCGCGGCCGCGGGTACGCATTGTTTTTGTTGTTGCAACAACAAATGCAATCGTACGATTTTATTGACGTCGCTTATCAAAACGATCGCGCGCGCGCGCGCGCGCGCGCACCGCGTCGCGTTGGTTCGCGCGGACTCTCTTATTTTATATTTATCTACTCTTAAATGGCGCTATTGACGACGGCAGCTTTATTCCTTTGCTGATCTACTTGGGGCTATGCGGAAGTAATCTACTGCTGCTACGTCACCGATCGAGGCAACTGAGTTCGTGTGAAACGAATCAAGAAGTTTCGAAAACCTGACGATTTTCCGAGTGGCGAACGTACGTCTTTGGCTATAGGTATAAGTATGGACTGCTGGTCCCCCACTTTTACTACATATGTAAAAGACATACGCCCGGTATCGCTGAGCTGAAGTTGGTTGAGGTGTCGAACTTCGATTGTTAGGCTCCACCCCAGTCAGTAAAAAAATGTCAAATATGTCAAAATGTATTAAATGTTGAAAATTGATAGGGAGCCGGAAAAAATCTCAAATCGATGGAAAGAAATTAAAAACAGACCTTTCCTTTACACGTCGTAAACACGTCGCTGATTTCACAGGAGCCTTTCCCCTCCCCGCAGAAAATTACTGACTGGGATGGAGTTTACATCTTCCAGCTTGGCGACACGTATGAAGTTAATTACTATCAGTCCGTACTTATATAGTCAAAGACGTACGCTGACACCATCGTTTCGACAAGCTGCATCTTCTATTTAAAAATCGCGCAAAGAAAACGTAGTAAAAAAAAATGCACGCTTACGAAATGAAAATATCGGTACCGCCGCGAATTACAGTGCGCCGCACGGAACACCGTGTTGCACCATTTTCCTTTAGGCTTCCACAGGCTTTTTCCAGAGTTAATTACAGCGATCGATCTTCGTGGTATACCAGTTGCGCGCAGGTGCTCGCAGATGCCGATTTACGCGACAGCCATTCCTCGGGGGGACCGGCGAAGTTAACTTACGTTCGCCTATTACGTGTCGTTCACCGCGGACCCTTTACGTGCAACGTTCACGCCGCGGCGACGGCAATATTCTAGTCTCGACGCGGCCCGCGCCGTAATGAGTCGGCAACGAGACTACGTGATCGGTCCTTGTGGCGCGTTGCCGATATTGCCGCTGCTGCAGCTGCTGCTCCTCCCGCGCCTGCCGGAAGGGATGGTATTGCTGTCGGCCCGGATGTCGATCTGAGAACACACGTTATCCTATTATCGAAAGCCGAGAGGTGTGCGAGATACACGCACGTGCCACAGAGATATTATCTCGAAATCAAAGAACGACTCTTCGTCTTCACGTCTAAACATCTTATATAATAATCCTTAAATGTTATTTAATAAACAGGATAAAAACTGGCACTCTAATTTATTATCTAGATAAAAATGCCATGCGCGTTTCTAATTCAAATTTGAACGAAGCGACGTCTTCATATATATATATCATCATTTCGACGCTTCTGCTGCTTACAGCCAAAGGAGCTTCCGCGCAATGAAGACTCTTTCGAGTTTCCGTCGTAATCATTCTAATAATCGTGAATTTTCAAGACGCATAGAAAGCTTCGATTACCGCTGTAATCAGCTACCGAATCGTTTTAATTGACGTTGGCTTTTAAAGTAAATGTGTCAGATAGTCGTCGCCGATGTCGTTAATGCCTGGACTGTCGGAATGCAGATGTCGCGGAGTCGTTGCGAAAAAGCGAACGCGGGGAAGCGGTGTGTGTGTGCGTGTGTGTGTGCGAGAGAGAGAGAGGGAGGGAGGGAGAAGGCGAGTAAAAGTGGCAAACAAAAACTTTCCAAGTACCGCGGGTGTATACTGTCGTTAATCATATGAAGTCAATCTACGTCAGATTACCAAGATTGATTAGGTACACTGAAAGCCTGATGCATCAAAGGGTACGGAAAGGGGATTAAAGTATGTTACGTCGATGTTACACGTTACTTCGGCGCTTTTGACAACGTTGTAACGGTGGCTCCCAATATCGGATTCTACAAATAAAACGCGGCAGCGCGGAGTTACGAGTTTGCGTACGACGACCTACTCAAAATAAAGGTAAATATACATTTTTAATGGAATCAATCGTGAAATAATTTAAGTCCGATTCCATTCTCTGATCGTTACCATTATTATTATTGTTGTTGGCGGCTATTATTGTAGCCACGAAGAGACGCTGCACACAGAAGACGTACAGAAGCCAAAGACAATCCGGCTTCATCTTCGGTAAGTGGTCGTCGACATCATCCCGGAAACCGCTTTCAGCCCGCGCATTGTCGTTGCCCCCCTTTTTCTCTTTATGCCTTATTAACAAGCGGTGGCGCTAACACGCCTAAGAGATTGCGCCGCAAACCGTGGCGTATGTAAATTACGCCGACAACACCAGAGAGAGAGAGAGAGAGAGAGAGAGAGAGAGAGGGAGGGAGGGAAGGAGAAGGAGACAACTGTTCGAGCTGTTCATTAACTACTTCGTGGCGCGCCAACAGCACTTAGCCGCCGGTCTATTGTTGCGATGCAGATGTTAGCCCTGGTTGCAAGTTGCACCACAGTAAATGACCACCCGATGTATATTTATTAATACTTGCGTAACACAGTTACGTGAAGTAACATACACTGTTACATTAAGTGTTTAAAGAAAACAAAAATATGTGGAAATATCAATTGTTATAACCATCGCGATTACGTGTATAAATGGGAAGTATTTAGTAAATGTGTAAAAAAATAATACGAAAATCTATCATCGTCACGATCGCGAATGTTATTAATTTTTTGTGTATTCGGTTTTCAATTTTTTACCGGAGCGAGAAGAGAGTTTTGCCGCACGCGCGCGCACGAAATCAAACCCGCGCTATTTTCAATCGTATTTAACGTTTGTTATTACGGTACACACTGCGATTTGGCGATAATAACAATAATAACGCCGGCAGAAATATAAACGTCGATTGCGATTTTATCTGTTTGCCAATTATTTCGTTGCTGCGCTTTGTTTTAACTCCCACCGTTTCGATTTAAACGAGTTTACATTTGAAAATTCGTTACGCCCGGCTTAGCGTGCAACGAACCGTAACTGCGAATCATTTTGCAACAAAGACTAATTACATTAAAACACGATGTAAATATTATAACGCTCGGGCATCGACGAGACATGTATTTTCATACTACGCTCTCCACGCTGGGGCACGACGACAGTTTGCACAAGAGCTCGGGATTTCTTTCGATTCTATCCAGGACGATTTGCAACTCCTGCACCTCCTCGGGCGACAGCGGCGTTCCCTGATGGTCCGACAGGACGGCTACGGCGTCGGAGAGGCTCAAGGACGCCATCAGCGCGACGCCGCCGTCTCTGTCGCGATTCAGCAGGCCCTGTTTCAGCATCTTAATGTACCTCTTCAGAGCGGAGTTCATCGCGAGTCCTATTTTCGAATCGTGTCGCGGTAGCTGCAGCTCCTCCTCGTCGACGCCGCGTCCCCGCGCGATATCGCCCCATCGTCGCCGCGTCTCTTCCGCCTTCTCCGCAGAAACGCTACCGCACTCGCGCGGGGCGAGAGACGTCGCCGCCGCCGCCGCCTCCGCGGACGGGGATTCATCGTATCTCATTTCGTCGACCGCGCCGTTTGATCGAGTATTCAATTTCGTGCCGTTTAATCCGCTTTTCGTCTCGGAATTTGCATCCCGTCGCGCCGGATGCGGAGCCGCGGCGGGTCCGCGGCTCCGGAGAAGGTTGTTCGCGCTGGCGGGTCTCGCTCGCAGATCTCGTATAATTTTCAGTATTCTCGATCGAGCGACGTCGTTGGCGCTGTTAGATTTCATGTCGTTTCCCGCCGCCGCCCGCGTCCTCGCGCTACCCGTTGCTCGATTCCCGTCGCTTCTCCCGGCCGTCCCTGTATCCTCCCGCGGGGGAGGATCGATCCGGCACGTAAGCCCCGCGAGTTTCTCGCCGTCGGGGATCGCGGATTTATCGGTATCGTCGGCCGGGTTTAACACTTCGGCGGATAATTCAATCTGCGGGCTTAGCGACGCGCCTTTCGAGGGATTCTCCGCGCTTCTTAACCGTCGCCTTCCACCGCGATTTAATTTCGCCGGGCTCTCCCGTCGATCCCGCTGCACGGACGGCGGGAAGAGTCCCGGCGCATTATTCCCGGGTACCGGCCCGCCTCTCGCAGCGTCGTCGGTGCCGGATCGGCTCGTTATTAATTCCGGCTTCTCCTTTGTCGCCGAAGTTTCGCTCGTAGTTACAGGCGCGTCAGCGGCGGGGTAAGCGGTACGGGACGTGCGCCTCCTCGGGCGAGCCGGCGTTCGTGCTGGCGACGACAAGAACGACAAAGCCGCATTGTCGGGCGACGTCGTGCTGCAGCTCGCTGGCATTTTTTCCCCGCCGGGCAAATCGGTAGTCTCCAAAGTTCGTCCCTCCTCGTTGTCCTCCACCGCGACGCCTTCGACATCCTTTGATTTTATACTCCACTGCCCGTGTCGCGGCGGCCGTGTCGCCGGATCCTCCCCGCTTTGTTGCTCGACTGTCATCCCGATAAATTCCTTTCCCGGCGACGCGCCAACGAAACTCGCCGCTCTTCGCCCGGACAACGCCGGATTGTGGCCCGTCGAGGATTCCTTCGAACGTTCTCGGGACGAAACTTCTGCCAATTTCTGCCTCGGCGGAAAACTCCCGCGCGCCGACCTCGGTCCCGCGACCCTCGCGGCGGAAAACTCCGTAACGTTTCCTCCGTACTTCCTGTTGAAGGAGGTGCCACGGTTGCCCGACATCCAAGGTGGACGCGAGGACGCGTGGCTCCTGGGACTGATCGACGACTCGCGCGAACGCCACGACGCTTCGTCCTCCCGGCGCTTGCTGGAATCGCTGCGGATGCTGGCGATCTCGCTGGAGCTCACCGAAATAAAATTCAACCTGATCCCGCTCGCCTCCCTCTCCGCGCGACGTTTGTCCGACGACATCAGCGGGGACACGGTGGGTGGATAATCTTCCAATTTTTTCTTTCTCGGCGTTCCCGTCGCTTCCCGTCGCCCGTCCAGCGACGTAGCGGCGCGCGATAACGAAAAGATCTTCGACGTGTTTCTTCCCCTCGCGCTGGCCGGTCGATCGTTTCCCGTCCACGAAGACTCCTTTCTCGTCCTAAGACCGGCGGATTGCGGACAGTCGTCTACCACGTTGTGTCCGAGTGTCGGCCCTTCGTCCGCCCGATTACGAGATCGCGTCGGAAACGACTTCTTCAAAATCGGCACTCGCGATCTTGAATCTCGATTGCTCGTCGTGATCGCGAGAACGTCATCCGGTGGCGCTCGAACGCACGGATTCCCGTTATCGTCCACGCCGGGCAATTTTGGAGGATTGCCGTCGACGTTTTCCCAAAGATGATTTCTACTATTTTCACGATCCGCACCATCGTTGGGAATCGTTTCCGTCTCCTTCTCGCTGGTCCGCGGCCTCCTCGCGCCCTTCGACAAAAAGTAGTTCAGCGGATGAGGACGCGCGACGTTCCGTCGGCTCGTCGCCGCGGCGACGTCGTAGTACTCCTCGACGAAGTCGAAGAGGCTGTGGTCGTATCGATCGTTCAATCGCACGCCGATCACCGAGTCGGCCGAGCTCAGGTGCAGCGAGTTCAAGACGACGTCGCCCGGCGGCTGGAAGTCGTCGTACTGCCTCCTCAGGGTCGCCTCGATCAGCTTGTGACGGTAGGCTTTGTAGTCGAGGCTCGACATGTCGATTATCCGACGTCGCGAGTCCGCGGGGAACGTGGGACGATCCGCGGGCGGGCATTTCCGTACCTCATTCGATCCGCGATCTCCGATCCTCCTCCCGTCGTCGACTCGAATCCCGCGCCGGCTCGAGCTCCTCGAGACATCGCCGTCGTCACGTAGAGTCGGCGTGGAATTGATCCGCCCGCGAACGTATTCCGTATGCAGACTGGAACTCGACGTGGAGTCGGCCACTTCGACTCGCGCCGGATAATGTATCAATAACGATCGACTGCAGGCACGAGCGTGGCGACGCGAGGACGAAGTCTTCGTGAAGGCTCTCAGCGGCCTGTCCTACACGTAACGAAATATTCAATTGCACCCTCCTCCAGGAAACCGCGGTCTTTTTATGCGCGACGTTTAAATTTCCTCTCTATAAAGAGAGAGGGAGAGAGCGAGAGGGAGGAAATTTTTCGACAAACTACTTTAATCTCGTTCCGAATCTTTCTCGCAATTATATATACGCTTCTATCAGAGGGGAGGGGGGGGGGTAGGACGGGTGAGGCGGGCCGTCGCGGGAGAATTTTCTCACTTCGATTCCCGCCTTCCATAATGTAGTACGCAGCTGTATAGCTGTACATTATCGCCTTCAATGGATTCGGTATCGCGGTATCGCGGTACGCCCGCCCGCCATTGTGTTATAAACGCGAATGTTATATCACGGTTATGCCGACGAAGAAATTGGAAAATTTACAGTCCAGCGCGGTGCTTCCGCTCGAACACCGCGGAAGCGTTATCGATGCGCACCGGCGTTTTAAAGCGCGCGGGGAGAGGGATGGTTTTCCGAACGCGCGTTTTTCGAGATAGCGGCGTCGACGGCGCCGTTATATACATATATATATATGTATATGTGTGGTGTGTGTGTGTGTGTTTGTGTGTGTGTGTGCGCGTGTGAGTGTATATATGAATAAAAGCCGGTAACCGCCAAAGCCGCCCCTTGGCTCTTGTTTATCGAAGGAAACGCGTCGGGCGAATAATAAAAAAAAAGAAGTGGAATGAATAACAAACGTTACACCGTTCGTCGCGCGCTATTTCAAGCGTCGTGCGCGCGCGCGCGCGCGCGTTATCCTCGATAAGAGGTACTCGCATAACGTTTTCACGCTTGACTATCCCGCCGGGATGGCGGCAGGGAGGGCGGAGGGGCGGGGGGGGGTGAGAGAGCAAGACAATTTATCGGGGGCACGTACGAGCAGGAGGTAAACGCGCACGATCAGCGGCGCCGCTAACAAGATCGTCAGGGCTAAAGCGAAGGCGCTCTCGGCCACGAAGGGCGGTGTCGATCGCAAGGTTAAGACGAGCTTTCCCGGCGCCAGCACGTCGAACATCCCGATCGCTTGTTTCCCCGATCCCCCGTCGTAATTGCAAATCGACCCTCGTCGTCGTCTTTCGCACGTTTCACTTTAGGCCGCCGATCGCCGGTGCTGCGGACTCTCTCTGTCTCTCTCTCTCAGTCGGTCGATGCCGCCCTCGAAACGCCGGCTGCCATCGGCAGTGTCTTCCATAATGGAGCACTCACGTCGATAGTCGATACCTCGAAAGCCTTCGCTTTCTTCTTCTTTTTCTTTTGTCCCTTTTTTTTCTCTCGATCTTCTTTTACAGCCCCCCCCCCCCACATTCGGATCGGCTGCATTCCGAATTATCCGAATTATCGATCGCGGTTACAAGCTGCGGCTTTGCGCTTCGACCACACTTTATTGCTTAATACATGTAAATCATACGGTTTATTTTAAATCTGTCACCCGCCCGTCTCTCTCTCTCTTTGCCGCATATATTTTCTATTAAGATAAAACTTCTCTTTCTTGTCCGTTATTGGTTCTAAATCCTATACAATTTATGTCAGATTTCAAGATAGAATTCCATTTATAATTTTATATGATACGTCATGTATACGTCATACTCACATGTAATGAATATTCGTTTATTTTACACATAGATGAAATTCTATTCTGAATTCTATTCCGAATTTTATTCTGAATTTTGACATCAAAATTACAGATCATCTAAATTGGATTTTATCTTCATTTAGAAATCGGTTTCGTTATCACGCAGGATATGTAAATTATTATATTTAGAAAATATAATAATATTAATATTTGCGACGAAAATACATATTGTCTGGGTAGTATACAAACACTTACAATTGTGGATATTGTACGCCCTGGCGATGTCCGGGCGACTCGTGGACCGCCGGATAGGCGGAAGCTCGCGATAAGGCGCTTCCGTGTCTTGGTAACCGTTCCGTCGATGTTCCGGATGTCGCTGATAAGCGCCGGAGAAGATTCTGGTGTATCTTAAGTAACAACCGCTCGGTATTTGCCACTGCAAGCGAAGTTTAGAATACTTCCAGGAGTCTCATCGACCTCGCGCGCGCAATCGCGAGTACATCCTTATAGTCTACTCACCCCGTACGAGGAGCTCGGCACGGGCTGGGGCGGTCTGCCGGGGCACATCAGCATCCTTCTTCTGTAGAATCTCGGCTAAACGAAGAGATAAGTGCACTGTTAGAACTCCCCCCCCCCTCCCCCGCTCCTCTTCCCGCGCATGAATTTCTCTCTCTCGCGCTTTAATCTACTGCTTATATCCTCGAAAAAGGGTCCTTTCTACGCGACTCGCGCGCGGCGGAACCTCTTCTCTCGGAAGCGGCTACAAAAGGATACTGCGGAGCCTCGATATTTTTGTCAGATTAAGAAGCCGATTATACGAGAGAGCGAAACCTTTTGCGAGAATTGGCGCGGTAAAGATACGGCGTCCCGCGTATACAGATTTATGTAACTCGATAAAAAGCAAATGGATTGGATAAATTGAATAGGAAAAAAAAAAAGATCGGACAAGATTAACGTGTGAAGTATCTAGATACGTTCACAGCTGTGAATGTGAAGATAATTTATTCCTGCTCACCTCGGAGTCGCTTATACCATCCGCGGATTCTGCAAATATACGAGACAAATGTCGGATCAATTGCGTCTCTCCATCGATAATTACATTATATATTTATGACGGAAAAATACGCGACGGCGGTATAATATTTCCCGCGTCGAAGGGAGGAATCCGCGACGTCGCGACGACGTCGCTATACCGCGTCTCCCCGCGGCGGAGCCCCTCACTCGGGGTTCCCCGGGGGGGAGACGGCGGGAGCTGGCGCACAATGGCATAAATTTACCTCTCACGTGTATCGAGAAATGGCATTCGGCTCGATTTCCGGCTGCATCCGAGGCGACGTAGCGCACACTGTGAACGCCGGGATACATCACGTGTCCAGGTCCCTGCGCGAGATATACGATAATTAACTTTTCGCGCGATTGCATGGAAATTTCCTCTGAGGAAAATATCCGGCCGTGCATGTGTGCGAAACGGTGTGCGGCGCCCGCGGGCCAATCTTGTCCGTATGCGGGCCGTCCTCGTCCCCTTCCCCTCCCCCCTCCCCACCCAACCCCCGCTCGCGTCTACGTCCGAAATCGGACGCGATTGTGACGCCGATCGATCTCTTTTTCATTTTTCCTCGTTTCCTCCTTCAAATGACCCGATTAAAGAGATCAGCGGCACACGCAGCCGCACGATTCTCTCGTTTCAATTTGCCTAATCAGATTAACCGTCAAGGCTGCAGCATAATGTCCAAGGCCATTTATAACCCCCCCCCCCGCCATATATCGAGAGCGCAAGCCACCAATTATCCGCGGGGCCGGTTATCGCGCGGACAGGGTAATCTCTGGTTATTACGTTAATAAAGTACACGCTCTCTCCGCGGCGCGAGAAAGACGCCCCGGAAGGGTATACAATAAAAACACGACGGGAGGCGTCGACCGACAATGATTAATCATCCGGCCAGGTTTTTCCTGGTTACCGCACGTGGGTGGGGAGGGGGGGGCGAGGGGCTACCCCTCAAGTTCGCGAGGAAAATCGTAGATACCATCCTCCGCGCCGCATTGCAGCAGTTTCTTCGCGAGGTCTCATTTCCTCGAAACACGAACGGATAATTAATGGACGATATACCCTCGCTCGATTAATATGCCCGATTGTCAACGGCAAAAAGGGGTTAATTAACTTCGGGATTCGCCAACAGGAGGGTGGGAAGTCTCGACCGCTCGCTCGATAGCGGGGAGGAGGGGGAGACACGAATAGAGTTGTTACAGAAAATTGAGGAAATTTCATAGATACAACGCGCACATGGTAACGCTGTATTCGAACAACGAGTGCCGCGGGGGGGGACGGGACGCGGGGAACGGGCGAGCATATACGTACCCTCGTTTTGTAAATGTGCTCCACGCCGACGTTATCGGTGAAGGTCGGTTCTTGCCAGAATATCAGGCGACTTCGTTCTCCCGGGTTCAGCCTGACCTCGAAAGACACGGGGCACATCGTAACCTTGGGGTTTTCGGCATCTGAAAGTAACGTGGCGCATCTTGATTATCGAGTTTTCCCGATGAAGACTCTCGATTCGATCTCTCGCACGGAAATGTGGAGCGAGCGGAATCGCGATAATAAAGCGGAGCATAATACAGGCCGACACGCGCGCACGAAACTCGGCGAGACTCGGCGGTTTTTGGCGCCGTCAAGACTCGCGGAGGAGCACGCCAACGACGCGCGATCGTTTGTCCGATCGGCGTGAAGCTTATTCTGCGTAATCGCGTATCGACCACGACGATGCACCGGCACTCCTTCTACTTCGCTACGTTGCGGAGGGAACTTTGCTTAAAGCGAGTTTCACGAACTTTCCGAATGAGTAATTAAGCGGGACGGGACGGAGTGCACTTCGCCGCGAAAACTAAAGTTTATCCGGCGTCGCGTCGGGGACGATTCGAGTGCCGGGCCGGTTTCCCCCGTCCCGATCGATTGTCCCCTGTGCAGCGAAAAGTTTCCACGGAAAACTACAGATGAATCTCGAAAATATAAAAGGGAAGAGAGGAGGACGCTGACAGAAACTTCACGGGACTTCGATCGTAGATTGATAATCTATGAAATCGAAGATTCCGCTTCGGAGCTGTCGAGTTCTCGAGTCCCCTTTCATTCTTTATCCGCACAATTGAACTCCCAGGAGGGCACGGTTGGGAGTTAAGAAGAGACAGATGTCACTTTTCGCAGTCTTTGCGTTAAAATATGTGTCAAGATGAATCCTTTCTCATTATATCTTCGTAGAATTGTCTCCCAGTCCCGACAGATTTTATTAGCAATTTCATTGGTATGCGCTTATTAATAACCCCGCTCCTTTTTATGATATAGTAAGTACACCGTAATAATACTCATAAAAATAATGTGGATAAAGTTCCATAAAAAAATGTGGATAAAGTTTATTTACTTTCCCATTACGTTTATTTTATACTGTTTATGGGGTTTATAATGGTTCTTATCACCGCGATGATACTTAGAGCAAGAAAAAGGAGCTCGCAGGGAAGATCCATTTTCCTTACCGCGCTTCCCAAAGCGGATTCTTTTTACTCCTGATTTCTCTCTTATGCGCCGGACTTACCGCGGACTCTTATCACGATCCTACAGGTGCTGGTGTAATTAGAGACCGGCGACCACGCCGTGAAGGTAACGACCGTCGTGCCCGCCGGCAGATCCGCTTGCAATTGCTTTGCCCATGGAGGTGAAGCGTGTACGTATCTGAAAAACATAAAAGGGAGGAAAGGGGCTGGGAAAAACAGAAAGAAGAAAAAGCAATGACCGCGGCGGTGCGACGAGATGGACGCATTGCAACAGAATCACTCTCGATATTATTTTAAGTAACTACAATGTAAACCATTTCGTTTAATAGAGCCACAGACAGAAACTTTCGAATATTTTTGGTTCCACCCGTGCAGAAATTTCTCGAAATCCCCACCGTGTACCAATATTCCCGTATACCAGAATTTGACCGAAATAAATATTTGCCAATCGGTATCGCTCCCCGTACCTCTATCCATTTTTATCTCACATATGGATTTTCTGTCTAGAATCTAAACAGAAATAATTCGCGTCACTCTAACGGACCTAAAAACGAGAATAACTATATGTTCGAGGTGAAACCTGTACGTAACAATTTCCGCGGTTTCAATGTAGAAATAAACGCGAATCGAATCGATTTCCGTAGCCTCGAATTTGAGGACCTCCATAATGCGCTTCTTACCTCCACCAATCCATGTTGGACTTGGGTTGCGGGAAAGTTACACGTATCGTGTTTTGCCTAGCCGGTAGTTCGACGTCCATGTCCTGGGGGCAGCTTACGAACGGTCGTGGCGTGTCTACGGCGATAAAGTCGATAGTTAAATCCTCTCGATACCGATCGCCCAATTTCCCATACCGTAACGCGATAAGAAACTCCGATGGCGAGCAATTCCCGTATCATCGGGCTGCTAGTGTTCGAGACAGAGAGAGAGACAGAGAGAGAAAGAGAGAGAGAGAGAGAGAGAGAGAGAGAGAAGCGTTGTTTCACTTCAGAAAGTATCACGTCGCGCGTGTGAAAGCTTTATTACGCTTCGATCGGTTTTACACGGGGGATGTAATAACAACAACTATATGCCGTTACGTATACAGAGAGTCCGTAAAAACATTACGTTTCAACGACAGATAAATCGATTTTCTTTTTATAACGAAAAACGTTCAATAATCTATTTAATCTATCGGTAAATTGAACGAGGATTCCCGGTTATCCTGTGCATCCCGTCTATGGCACCGCGGTAAAGCCCGGCCCTTTATTGATGAAGCAACCATAAACGCGCGTAATATCGTTTGACGCGAGATAGGAGGCCACTTAAAGAGCGCCGCCGCACCGAAAAGCACATCGCTTTCAAAATGGAGGCCGATTTGAATACCCATCGTGTGCTCCAAGAGTGGATTTCCGGGAGCGATATAGCGACGCTGCAAACTGTGTATATATATATAAGCAAAAACCGAAACCGGCACGGCGACGGGCGTAGAATCAAAATCTCCTTTCCATTAAATGAAACAATTAGCGCCGACGGAGGAAAGAACCGCGAAAATGCGCGCGGGAAGGAAAAAAGCGCTACGGCAAAGCGGATAAAACGAACGAGAGAGGAGTGGAGCCGGAACGTAAAAAAAACCCGGCCGGTCCGAGTAAGCTCGTTAAGGGGCGGCGTTAACGTATGATCTCGTTAGCAGGCAAGCCTCTACACAGGAACTTTGTATTATTAAAAGCTGCTCCGAGCGGCATGACTAATTTAGCGCGTCCGAGAGAATTTTCGTCGTTAAGTTATTTGCCCCGCGCCCGGTTCCGGGGCGATATTTTACGTTCGATCGCTCGCGCGACCCGAACGTTCCGCTCTTCAATGTAGATTGGAGGGAATAACGTCTCGCGAAAGTCGACGAAAAATTCAATGGGAACTGGACGACCTGCTTGGTGTTGGGCTCGCTCGCTTAAACGCCCCTCGGAAAAGGGAGCGACGCGCAGGCCACCGAAAGGAAAAAATGCTGCGGGCGCGTTTCGAAAAACCGCGAAGCGGCAAGAATAAATTTTGCGTGAAAATAACGACGTTAAAAAAAAACTAATAATTCCCCGTCGAAAATAATTACGCGACGATATGAAGTGTGCGGTACGGCGGCGGTTCGTGCTAAAGCGACGCCGGCCGATGCAACAGTCAGCTTGTTAAAAATTTTATCGGATAAACATCTTGATTAATTTCCCGGACGGCGAAGTTCCCGGACGCGGAAGTACGAACGGGGCGCCTGCAGCGTTTTTTTCTTGGCAGCGGCGCGCGCGCGTGGAGCCGTGGAGACGAGAGTTGTACCTACTTGGATTGTAAACGGGGTCTGTCGCGACTTCGCGCAGACATATAGGCCCTTCCCCGTCCCAATGGTCGCCGCTAACGCACTGTCTCGTGTGCGCCCCTTCCAGCCGGAAACCTCTGCGACATCGGACATGACACTTGGCGCCCTGCGGGTAGACGGATGCGCCGGAGGGGTGACCCGGACATCTGATCTACTCGATTAGACCCAGGGAAAACGTGGAATGAATAATACAGTCCAAGAGAGCAAAGCTTACATGTTAAATATTACAAGTTATATAAATTAATAATAATATATTATATTATTAGAAATATTATTTTAATTTTCGGCTTTTCTCGTTTTTCTTCCATCTTAATATCATTTTTTAAAAATCCTCGTAGCTCCGTTTCATCTTGCTATTTTAATTTCCGCCGGTTGTTTCAAATATCTCTAAATTCTCCATTTTTTTCCAGCTGTTCTTGCAGCTACGGATTTTTCAGAATTTTTTTGAACATTTTTAACGCGGCATGTAAAATGCAAAGTGAAACAGGTACGTTGGAAATGTCCGTTGGTGCGCGGTGTGTATCATCTCTCTTTGAAAGGTGTTTTAGAATATATTTCAGTTGTGTATATCGACTCGATTCGATCCATCTAATATTGGCTCGCGATATCCGCGTGACAGTTCTCTCTCTCTCTCTCTCTCTCTCTCTCTCTCTGCGTACCTCTCCGTGTAAGGGTGGCTCCATGGCACGACATCTCGACGTCGGCGAGACGCAAGTTCTCTCGTCGGGCGCCAGCACCAAATCCTCACTGCAGGCGCAATAGTAACTTCCGGCGGTGTTGACGCACTCGCCGGTGCAACCGCCGTTCCGGTTTAGACACTCGTTCACGTCTTGACATTGACTCCTGCTTGTGCAATCCCATGCATGAAGAGCGGGAATCGTGTAATATACCTGTCTCTACTTTATACTGCTGTATATACATTATGTCGCTTAGATTTTCTTACCTCGAAATTAACGTGAATCCGGCGCGACAGGCGCAAACGAATGATCCTACGGTATTGATGCATTCTTGATCGCATCTGTCGCGACGCCATTCGCATTCGTCGATATCTGCGGTCGTATGGGTCGAATTTTTGAAATTAATAGCACAGCATAAAATATACATACACGATCATGTAAATATATCGTTGATGCGCGATCGTGATAAACTTACGTGATAGAAGTATATGAAATCTCATAACTTTAATTTCATTTATATTCATATATTCACATATATGAATATAAATGAAATTAAAGTTAAGATAACATATATATATGTTTTATACACTGAGAAAAAAAAGTAAAATCAAATGAATATTTCTTGATTCAACTATATTTAGCGATCACGGGCTGTCAAATAAATATTTGTTAATTCAAGAAAATATTTGTTAATTCACAAAAATATCATGTTAATGTTATTGATGTATGTTTAATTCAAAAACATATATAATTGAACTAAAGAAAAACTGTCAACAAAACGCATTTAGTTATTTTAACAACTTTTTTTTCTCAGTGATATACACACACACACACAGGTGTAAAACAATAAAAGTATGTATAAAAAATATATAAACTAATAAAATATAAAACTAATAAAATATACTAATAAAAAATATGTCATACGACACTATTTTATTTTACAATGAGATGTGCGCGTGTCTCAACTTACCTACGCAATCGTCCCCTTGCAGTTGAAATCCGACGGGGCACGTGCAGTAGTACGAGCCGGGCGTATTGACGCATCTCTCGCTGCAGGACGCCTCTTCCGCGCATTCGTCGACGTCTGGGCAAAAGCAAACTCAGTTCAGTTACGATTAAGCGACATCGTTTTTTCTCTAGAGAGAGAAAGAGAGCACGCGTTTCCGCCTACACACGAACCTACACAGGTATCACCGTGGAATCGATATCCCGCCTCGCACTCGCAGCGATAGCTACCCGGCATGTTGGTGCATTTGTTGCCCTTGCAAATACCGGCTGCGCATTCGTCGACGTCTGAAAAAAATAAAAAGGAAAAGAAAGAGAGAGAGAGAGAGAAAAAAAGAACGCACCACGGTCTCAAACACACGGTCGCTCCGCGAGAAACTTCCGCTCGAGCTAAGCGAGTCTAACTTTGCAGCAAGCTTCGAAACTGGAACGCAAGTTAAGGGAGAGGGACGAGAGGGCGAAACCGTGTAACCGGGGAACCGCGCGTTATCTCTCGGATTTTCCAGAGGTGACGATACTATCTTCAGAAAATTAGCTATGATAATAAAATGAATTGAAACAACGATTTATAAACGCGAATTGTATAAAAGTGAATCGAGACGGTTTCTACCTTTATTTGCATTTACACGTGTTACTGCTTTATGCGCAACCCCTTCTTTATGAATGATTTTCCTTTGTTAAGAAAAAAAAATACCCTATTAACGCGAGATAGAGATTTATTTGTACGTGACTAGTACTTGGTATTATAATTTAAATGGCATATATATATATGATTCATTCCTATACATGTTACTTCGCATCTTTGAAAGACCCTTTTAGTGATGCGAGTGGCTCTCTTTTCTGAAAAAAGCTTTAACATGATGGGGATATAAGCGGGGAATGGTACGTGAAATTTAAGTTACTCCTCAAGCAGTGAAGAAGAAAAGTTGAGAGAGAGCGGTCGACATGCGCCGTTAGAAGCTTCTTGATAAGTAAGTAAATATTTTTTCATTAAATTTTGGTTTATTACATATATATCAATAAAAAAATATTTAAATATTTACTCTTGTAAAAAGAATAAAATTATCATATCAATTATAGGCGAAACAACTTTTGAAAATGATTCACTCGCGTACATCTCGATCGGAACAAGCCAGAATTATTGCCAGCAGTGTCGAGAATTATCAGCATTTTCGACGAGTGCTGTGCTGGCGGCAAAAGTAAAAATTGTTAAAAAAATGAATAGATAACGAGAGCATCTAAGATATAAAAAGATATTTTCTTGTTATTACATATTACATATTTATATGAATTTATAATATTTTTATATAATAATAAAAATCATGAATTTTTTTCATCGCTATAAAATTACAATTTTTAAACAACTATTTAATCGCGTTTTTTTTTGCAACTAATAACTAGAATGTTTACTTTGTCTTCAAAAATTTTTCAAAATGTAATTATTTTTCAGAAGTCTTAAATTAAGCCTTAAACTGATTTTTTAGAATCTTTATGAGCATTTCAATATTGTGAAAATTGATCTACTATATAAATAGGCCATTAATGATCCTTTCGCATTTAAGGATGCTGAGAACATATAAGACATTCGAAATTTACGAGTTTACTACTTATGTATAATATATCACTTACCTACGCAAGTAGAATTCACCATTCGGAAACCCTCTTTACATCTGCACTCGTACGAGCCGGGATTGTTGACGCAAATGTGATCGCACCCGTGTTGTCGCTCGCACTCGTCGATATCGCGACATTTGACACCGTCGACCTCGTCCCTTTGGAAGCCTATCTCGCACGAGCACACCGCGGTACCGTTCACCGCGGCGCAGATCTGCTCGCATCCGCCGTTACGGTCCCGGCAGGGATCGGACAGTCGGCAGGATCCATTCCACGACTCGTGATTCGGCGGGCATTCGCAGCGGAAGGACCCCACGGTGTTGACGCACTGGTGACCGCAGCCGCCGTTGTCGCTCGCGCACTCGTCGACATCGGCGCAGGTCCTCTCGTCCTGCGACAGCTCGTAGCCCGTCGGGCAGGAGCAGAAGCGGCCGCCGATGGTGTTGGTGCAATTGTGCGAGCACCCGCCGTTCCGTTCGAGACACTCGTCGATGTCCAAGCAGGTAGAATTGTCGGCGTGCAGGTAATGCCCCTCGTAGCAGGTGCACACGTAGTCGCCTAGCAAGTTCACGCACTCGTGTGTGCAATTGTGACGGCTGGTCAGGCATTCGTCCACGTCCACGCAGTTCTTCCGGTTGTCCGGCATCAGAATGAAGCCGGGCGGGCACTCGCAGTGATAACCGCCCTCGGTGTTCACGCAGGTGTGAGAACAGCCGGAATCCACGTCGTTCTCGAATTCCTCGCACTCGTTGATGTCCTCGCAGGTCCTGAGATCGCGCCTCAGGCGGAAGCCGAGCGGGCAGGAGCAACGAGTGCCCGGGATCCCGTCAGAACCGTCCGCTTGGTGACAGTGATGGGAACAGTTCCCGTTGTCCCTCTTGCAGCCGTCCATCAAAACGCAGGTTTTGTTGTTCCGCTCTAAAGTGTAACCCGTTGGACACTGGCATTTGAAAGCGCCCACCAGGTTCACGCAGGAGTGCGAGCATCCGGCGTTCTCGACTTCGCATTCGTCAACGTCGTCGCACAGAGTCGGATCTTGAGGATTCCGCGAGAAGCCGACGTTGCAGCTGCAGTTGAAGCCGCCGGGAGTGTTCAGGCACTGATGTGTGCAGTTGTCTCGCAGCTCCTGGCACTCGTCGATGTCCGCGCAGGTAGCGTTGTCCTGCGGCGACAGGCGGTAACCCTCGGGACACTCGCACACGACTGAACCGTCCGCGAAGACGCAGGTATCCGAGCAATTGCCGTTGCGAACGAGACAGCCGTTCTCGTGAACGCAAAGAGTGTCGTCGTCCTGCGACAAGGACATCCCCACGGGGCACGAACAGGTCACGTTACCGTCATGATCGTGGCAGAAATGAGAACAGCCGCCGTTCTCGAACGCGCATCCGTCTTCTTGTACGCAAAGCCTCTGATCCTCCGCCAGGATCATACCGGGTGGACAGGCGCAGGTCACGTTTCCATCTTCGTGGTAACACAAGTGCGAGCAACCGCCGTTGTCCTGCAGACAATCGTTCTCGTACGTGCACACCGTTTCGTCCTCGGATAGAACCATTCCTGGCGGGCAGGAGCAGGATAGCTGGCCGTCCTCGTGATGACAGAAATGTGAGCATCCGCCGTTATCGATGGAACACGCGTTTATCTCTACGCACGTCTTGCCGTCGTAGAGATTCAACAGCTCGTAGCCCTCGGGACACGCGCATTCGGCACCACCTTCCGTGTTCGCGCAAAGGTGCGAACACCCTCCGTTGTCCTGGATACACTCGTTGACGTCCTCGCAGGTCCTGCCGTCATCCTGCAGCTCGTATCCCTCAGGGCAGGTGCAGTTAAAAGTGCCGTTCACGTTCAGGCATCCGTGAGAGCAATCGGCCTCCACGGACGAACATTCGTCGACATCCAGGCAGGTTCTGCGATCGTCTTCCAATCGAAATCCCGAAGGACACTGGCAATGGTAGGCGCCTTCGATGTTTACGCAAACGTGACTGCAAGCATGAGATCCTTCGGAGCACTCGTCCACGTCCCGACAAGTCTTCCCGTCATCCTGCAGCTCGTATCCTTCCGGACAGCCGCAACGAACGCGGCCGTCGTCCTGTTCGCACGTGTGCGAACAACCGTGATCCTTGGCGCAGGGATCATCCGGCAGCTCCTGACATGTCCTGGAGTCCTCCCGCAGCCGCCAGCCGAGAGGACACTCGCAGTGGTAAGAGCCGTCGGTGTTGACACAGCCGTGAGAACAATTGTGTTTCTGTTCGTCCTGGCATTCGTCTATGTCGTTGCAAGCACGCTCTCCTTGCGAATAAGTGTATCCCGCGGGACAGGTGCAGTTATTATTTTCTTGAGATTTCGCACATTCGCCCGGGACGACTGTGCACGTACGATTGTCCTCGCCGAGCTCCAATCCCGCCGGACAGGAGCACGAGTAAGAACCCTCGTGATTTCTGCAACGGTGACTGCAGCCGTTCGTCGCCTCGTCTTCGCATTCGTCTTTGTCCTTGCACGTGTCCCCGTCCAGAAGATAACCCGGAGGGCACTTGCATCTGTAACCCGAGTCCAACGGAACGCACGAATGTGAGCATGAGGAATTGGCGCAAGGATCGCTCCTCGCGCAAGTGAGATCGTCGTCCTCCAGGATCCAGCCGAAGGGACACGAGCAACGGTAAGACCCGTACACGTTGTGGCACAAGTGCGAGCACTCGTGCTCGCCTTCGAGACACTCGTCGATGTCCTGGCACTGACCGTGCTCGTCCTGTCGAAGTCCTTGAGCGCACACCGGATCGCCGCAGGTGAGGCCGTCCTCGAGAAGTTTCATACCCTGCGGACAAGCGCATCTGTAACTTCCGAGGATATTGATGCATTCGTGCGAACAGTCGTGCTCGTCCTCGAGACACTCGTCCATGTCCAAGCAGGTTCTTTCGTCCTTCTGCAAGAGATATCCTTCCCGGCAGACGCACCTATAGGTGTCCCGATCCTTCTCGCAGATGTGACTGCAATTCGCGACGTCGCACGCATCGGAGAGAACGCAGTTCCTGCCGGTGTCATCCAAGAACATGTCGTCAGGGCATCCGCACTTGTAGCCGCCCTCCTGATTGTCGCACCCGTGCGAGCACCCGTGCGATCCTTCCGCGCACTCGTCCACGTCGGCGCACGTGCGCGCATCCTGCAGGATCCGGTATCCCTCCGGGCAGATGCATCCGTAGCCACCGGGATAATTCTTGCACGCGTGCGAGCAGTCGTGCCGATTCCCTGCGCACTCATCCACGTCGACGCAGGATCTGCTGTCGACGTCCAGCGCGAATCCCGGATGGCAGGCGCATTCGTATCCGCCGTGCAGATTCACGCACCGGTGCTGGCAGCCGTGATCGTCTCTGCCGCACTCGTCCACGTCGACGCAGGACCTGCTGTCGACGTCCAGCGCGAATTCGGGATGGCAGGCGCATTCGTATCCGCCGTGCAGATTCACGCACCGCTGCTGGCAGCCGTGATCGTCTCTGCCGCACTCGTCCACGTCGCTGCAGTTAAATTTACTCACGTGCTCCAGGATCTCCATACCGACCGGACACGTGCAGACGAAATCGCCGTCCAAATTGACGCACCAGTGCGAACACGGAGCCTCCTCCCGGGCGCACTCGTCGACGTCCATGCAGGTCGCACGGTCGACGTCCGACAGTTCGTACCCGGTCGGGCAGACGCACAGCGGTCCCTCCGCGGTGTCCTCGCAGACGTGAGAACAGGGTTTTGTCAGGCTGGCGCAGCTTCCGGACTCCTCGACGCAGGTCGCGTTGTCGTCCGTCAACATCAACCCCGACGGACACTCGCACGCGTACGCGCCAGCGGTGTTGCGGCAGATGTGCGAACACGGTCGGGACGGTGCGTCGCACTCGTCCACGTCCTTGCACGTCGCGCCGTCCTCCTCGAGCTCGTAGCCGGCTCGGCAGACGCAACGGTAGCCACCCGGCTCGTTCACGCACTCGTGCTGGCAGCCGTGCGATTCACTCTCGACGCACTCGTTTACATCTGAGAAAGAATGTCAACGAGATGATCTCGCATTAAGAACAAAAATCCGCGATCTCGCTTTCTGAAATTGATAGAATCCTCTTTCCCGATTAATGTCAACCGAATCTCGAACGTATAAAATTTTATTAAGCCTTATTTTCTTGCCGAGAAACATATTTTTAAGAAATTTAGAAAATAGAAAAACAAAACATGCAAAAATGATCACACAAGCAAGGATCTCAAAATCTTCACTTGAAAACGTCGATGTTTGGATATCGAATTTCAATCTTATCAAGTATACTTACCAACGCACTCCAAATTTTCATTTTTCTTGAAGCCATCCTCGCACTTCGAACTCTGCAGTATTTCGGTAATCTCCTCTCCGTAATCATCGCTGTCACTATCCTCATCCTCGTCATCATCGTCTTCATTCTCATCGTCATAGTCCTCTTCTCGAAGGATCTTCGTTTCCACGTGCGGTTGTAGCCTACTTATACATTTGTACGATCCCACTGTGTTCTCGCACTCGGTGTTCTCCACACATATCTTCGGTGTCGCCTCGCATTCATTAACATCTGAAAAAAGAAGACACCTCAGACTTTATAATGTTCGTTTTTTTTTTTTTGAAGAAGAAGAAGAGATTTGTCAGACTTTTTATAGTTATATAATTTATATAATTACACAGTTTATCTTTACAATTAAAATAAAATTTTAATATAAGAAAAGAGATTATAAATAATGAATATTGTAGAATCGATAGGTTCAAATTATGAGAAAAAATTACCAATCTAATTAGAAGAGAAGGTTAATGTACAATTCAACTGTAATAACGCAATTAATACATGTAATTAAATCTTTCGACAAACATTTTAATAATTTATCACACGATTGAAAATGGGAGTCGAGATATATATAATGGGGGTCGATCAGAAACAAACGTGCATTTACCCTGACAGGTCTTCCAATCGTTTGTCAGATAAAAACCGTCCGGGCAGAGGCAGAAGACGCTTCCGGGCGTGTTTAAGCACAGATGAGAACAATTCCCGTTGTTGAGCGCGCACTCGTCGATGTCCTCGCAAGTGTGATTGTCGGCAGCTAATTTGTACCCAGGTATATCCGCGCAACTGCACTCGTAGCTACCTTCGAGATTGCGGCAAGTGCCTTGGCAAGGCCCATGTTCGTTGTTCGAGAGGCATTCATTGACATCTGGGCAATACGCACGTAATATCGTACAGAGAGAGAGAGAGAAAGAGAGAGAAAGTTTTCATCTCGACAAGTCTACTTATTAAATAACAAATTAAATCAAAGAGCGCTGAAATAAATTGCCTCTTGAAGGCAACAATAGATTTTAAATGACACAAAGGCGCGTAAATGTAAGTGTGGAAAAATTAAATACGCCGACACAAAGAGGGGCCGACAAGTCAGTAAATATTTGTCGAAGATACCTTTCTTTCTATATGACTAACCTTGGCAAGAGCGACCGTCGGTTCCCAGCTGAAAACCATGATGACACTCGCAAGAGTACGAGCCGGGTTCGTTGCGGCAAATATCGATGCATTTTGCAATGCCTTCTGCACACTCGTCGATGTCTGAGAGAATATCAGAGAGAAGAGGAAAATCGATAATCAAATTTCAAGCGCTTCGCAATTTTATACATGGCGTAATAACGTAACATTTGTAATTAAATGTTGATATACATTCTTATTAACCTTCATTTCCTCTTCTTCTCTTTTTCTTTTTTCTTTTTACATTTTAACGCAAATAACAGAGCTACAAATTGGATAATTAATTCTGCTGAGGGAAGTACTTTTTTTGGAAAGCTTATCTTTAACCGTTATTTATTAGCACTTTATCGCGAATCGCGCAGTGAGAGATTTAACGGCAATCGCATATTATCGACACGCTGGAATATCGCGTGTTGTAACACTCGGGCTACACTACGTTTCACGCTGATCGGGTAATCATCGGTCTACAAACGCGATACTACGATTTGCAAACATGTGGCGCATTACAGGGCGGGGGGGGGGGTGAACAGGAGGGCGAGAAAATAGAAAAAGGCCGCGTAGAGAAACGTCAAGTCGATAACGGCTTTTAGACTCGATATCACGCAACAATATGCGCAATTCAACTCTTAAATAATCCGATACGAGCCAAAATCAATAATTCCATTATTATAAGGCTGATGCTGGCTTTACATTTTCGACGGGCATACACGTTTTCGAGTGCTCTAAAATTACTGTCCGTACATATGTACATATATATCCCCGGCTAAAATTATTTTCACCTCGCGGAGAGCAACGACGACATGCATTATTCGCGTGTATTCGTGGATTCCATAAATTTACGAATATAAATTGCGGCAGATGAAAAACCGGCACGTCGAAGGAAAACGTCGAAAACAGCGAATACAACGAATCGATACGAGCAGGTAGTCAATACGAAGACGGTACGCGAATTTCGTGTAGAAAATATCGACGAAAATATCGCATGTCGAGTAAAGAGAGAGACAGAAAGAGAAAGAGAGAGAGAGAGAGAGAGAGAGAGAGAGAGAGAGAGAAAGAGAGTTGTGTGCGTGAGTTTGACTTTCCTCAAAAGGTATAAAAATGTGGAATATGCAGTGGTGAATTTGTATATGGCTGTGGGCGTATGGATTACCGATACAGGACGGTCCTTTAGCTCGAAAGCCGTCGAAGCAGGAGCACTTTATGCCGCTTGGCGTATCCTCGCACACGTGTTCGCATTCACCCGTTCCCTGATCGCAGCGTTTCACCTTATCCGTCGATGGTTCTGGAACAGCATTTCATAACGCGCGCACATCCCGTATACATATTATTTTTATATATATTATTGTAAATTGAAAAATATAATTGACGCGTGCGTCAAACACACAAACCGGCTTGCTACATTTTATACGTGGTTATTAATTATTATACAGAGATAAATATTTTCATTCATGCTTACGACTGTCCCGCACGCATCGCGGACGACGTCCGAGCCAGGTTCCGTTACTGCAAAAAAGCCTGTCCGTCGTCGAATCCACGAAGGCGTAACCATCCGCGCACTCGTAAACCGCAACGAGGTATCGATTGTACGGCGGCAGTACGTTCTTCCTTCTATAGGACAATACACATCCTATTACTCTAGATATGTATATATATATATATATATTAACCCTTTGCGCGATCCGAATGGAACGACTGCGTCGTTCGATAGACTATCGCATAATTCTTTATTTAAACGTTCGATTGTGCATACGCGATTATAATCGGCAAACGATATTTTTAGATTAGTAAATTTCTCGACATAATAAAAATTCTTCGGTTCATATTATACCAATCAGCGAAAATTGAGGATGAAATACTTCGTTCATTTGTAAAAATAGTTGGGACTGCAAATTCGTTTAAGACAGCCGAAATTTGAAAGCATTTTAAATGAATTTTAGAATGATAAAAAAATAATCTTGTTAGAGAACTCGCGTGGAAAAAGCAACAGAAAATCAATATCAATTTAATTGTTATATCTTTTAGTTATTTCATTTATTCTTGCAATGGTATTTAATTAATTATTTTTTCAAATTGATACATGTTATATGTACAATACATAATTATAGACATATTAAATGCTTAATAAAATGTATCTAAAAAAGAATATAAATATGTAAATTATATAAAAATTAATACAATATGCATATATAATATACATTTAATTAAGAAAAATTGATGTTAATCTCCTGTTGCCTTTTCCGCGAGCTCAAGAGAAATCTCATTATTTTGGAATTGTTTTGCAGCTCGACGCAGTACAAACCTGGCGTATTTGGCGGGGCGAGCGTGCTCGATCGAAGGGGCCTTGATGAGACCCTTTCCGAGGATCTTTTTCGCGGCGCAGCTGATATCCAGTTGGGACACTACGGTTTCATTTAATCTTGTTGCCGTAGGTAGTCTTGACGAGGATTTCGCCGGCCTCTTCCTTTTCTTTTTCCTCTTCTTGCCCTCCTTCGTTTTTCTGCGCTTTTTTAAATCGTCTATCCTCTCTAGCGCCTTAAGACGGTCCTTCGCAATTTGCAACTTGCTCCTATCCGGGGCGATCGGTTGGTCGCCGAGATAGAGATCGTTACGGAAACGCCGTGATATAATATCTATACAGCAGACGCAGAATGTGTAACGTTACGTTAGCTAAATGTCTCCTATTTCGCGAATAGGATAACGTAATTGCGGCAAATTGTTAATGAATAATAAACGTAAATATTCGTTCATCAGCGCGAAATCATTAGCGCGTTGTACCGCGTTTATTGTACTAGCGCAAATAAAATATTCATTTTGCAATTATAATTAAAGGAATTTTAATTAAATTCTCGTCACTCATACACGACCGCCGGATGGACTTTAAATAGAATATTCGTTTTTACTGGGCAAAAATGTTCCTAGAGGTATCCTGGCGTTAGAGTTACATCACAGAGGATTAATCTCATTGAATATATATATATATATATATATATATATATATATATATGTACGGTAATCCAATACGGAGACAGATACACCTTTTACCGCCTTTTACCGCGCACCGCTGTGAGATTGCTATGGAATAATGTATTTTTCGCACGCATTCCCGTATCAGCTAAGTAACGCATAAAACAGTCGAGTGCGCGCACTACTCATGCTCATATAAATCCCCCCCTCCCGCCCCGTCAAGATTAACTTCCATCTGCACTTCTGTTTAACCCAGATGCGAATAAGGTCATTCGCAGTAATTATTTTCAACTTATTCGTAAACTAGAGCTTTTGTATTACAATGACGCGCCGGTTTTTGCCTTTTTGCTCTTTACCTGATCCTTTAAACGTACACATTTTGTCCTTTCAATCATCTTCTCACGTTGCTTAGTGTTTTCGAATAATTTACAGGTATTTACGCGCGCCTAATCATTGATGAGCGGCAAGCTCTGGCACGCGCAAGCTCCTCTCGTCTAAAGCACACAGGCGGCGCATCCCGACCAGAGTCCCCAATCCAAAGGGTTGGACAGGAAGGCGGGGAGAGAGCGGGGGGAGACGTGTACGTATGCTCGTAACGTCCGGGCGCGTGTATGACTTGGCGGCTTATCTCCATCGAGACGAATGCGAGCTATGTCGGTGAATCCCGTGCCACCGATAGCGAGGATGGAACGAGGCGCGTTCCTGGGAGCACCAAAACGCCACTCCGCGAATTTTCCCCGTCCGGGAATTCTGCTGCCCGCTCTCGAGTTCCGGTCCGCTATACTCGCTCGAGGGAAGGCGGCCGAGCAGACGTTTGCGATCGGCATCGCGCGACTTTACCAGGTGCGTGATTAGCGTTCATTAAGTATCAGTTTCGATGTGTATCGATATATATTTCATCGGTTTAACGACAGATAAATGTATAGACGTATAAATCAGCGTGGAAGAAGATAAAATCAATTATTTGATAATCCGAATAATGCGGCGATGGTAGTAGTTACAAGCTGAAATAAATAATCCGGTCTCCGCCTTCTTCTCCGTAATTTCTTCTTCTTTTTTATTTTTTATTTTTTTTAATTAAAAAAGTTCTCCGTCGAGAGGGTGCGCAAAGAACGGAAGACACCCTATATATTCGCAGTCTCGGGAGCAATGCCAACCCATGGCTTAAGATATGCCGATAACTCGCGCATCGGTGAAAATTGAATCCCACGGTAAAGTCGTGTTTCCACAAATCATAGAAATGGGCGTCTTGGGTAGATTGTTCTTCGAAACTTTCTGACATATCTCTCGCCTCCCTCCCACGCCCACAGGCTTTTTCATAAAAACGCGATTTTAAATATATATAGTTCCGATTCTGGCTTAGGTTAACACGATAGAATCTGACCGAGCGGTACAGACAAAGGCATTTAATTCCGTAGAACGTGACTTCTTTTTATACTCGTGTTTTTAAATAATTATATCTAAATGTCAAAATTATATAATTATGTCAAGAAACGGGAAGTACAGTGCTTTTCAGTGTATAGATATACATTTAAGATCAAATTTATCTCTGAATCCGTATATTGCAATCAAAACGAGCAATGAATAAAGGAAGCGAGTTTAATCATTATATCCAGCAATCTCCGTCTGTCAATCATCGGAGCTCGGTGGCCGATTGACTAAGCGAAACCGCGATTCGCGCGTTGCACGGCATTAAGAGAGCCGTGCTGGCCTGATGCCGCGAGTCCCTTTATTTCGACAGCACGATGTCTCGCAGTAAACGGATTTGTCCGTCAGTCTATTGAACACGCGCGTCGAGGCCGGGCAGGCACGAGGAGTTAAGCTCCCTTTCATGTGGATAATTGACTTACGTCGATCAAATTAGTATAATGCCGCATAGCTGTGGACATAGCGGGGGGGAACATCGTGCGCGATACGTGATACGCACAAATCATTAATTCACTCGGACTCGAATTCGAGGATAATTCAAAACAATCTCCTCGATGCGTACGTGTCCAGAATAGACACGCGCGCGTTTTGTAAAATGGTATTAATTAAGTCATTTACAGCGGCATAAACGATTGACTTGTTATATATAAACGGTATAAATGGACCTGCAGAATTATTTAAAATCATATCAATAAAGTACACAATTTTCCAATAATACTGTTCGTATACACCGTAAATTGTCGGAGAGAGCTATAATCGGATAATATTAACGTGGATATACAAATACCCGAGTCGACGAGTGAATAATCATCGGGGCGACGATTAGTCGCCGCTGTTAGCCGAAGAAGGCGACAAATACACGTTCCGCGAACGGACGGACGTCAATTGGACCGAAGCGACGACGAACGCGAGATTGAGATTGATGTATCGGAGATTCCGTGCAGATTCGTGCCCGATTAATCCCGACGAGAGATTCCCGCTCGAGCTTAGGATTTAGAGCTAACGTCGACTTCGCCGACGAGAACACGCCGGCGCGGCGGTCTATGTTTAAAGTAGAAGCGATATATCTTACGAAGCACGCATTTCGGGACGGGATGATCCCAACCGTCGGCGGTGCAAGTCGCTATCTTGTGACCCTTGAGTTTATGGCCCGGCTCGCACGAGTACACGATCTGCAGAGTACCGTCCTGGAGGACTCGCTCCCGCACGACGCCCCACTGCGGTGGCCGCACAGGACAATCGCCGAGGATCCCTGAAAGTGAGGAAAACGGGCCTTTATACGATCCGTATATCGCGAATGTATATAAGCTGTAAACGCGAGGATAGGAGCCATCATGCCGATGGCACGCTGAATTGGCACTTGAATGGAAAATTTGGCGTGCCATTAAATCTACCCCCTACGTATAGTTGCCGAAAGTTGCCAATGTATAATATTTAATCGGATCGGGTACACAAATTTCAAATTTCGCGTATATTACATATTACATGTACGTATAATAAGTATACATACGCATATACATTAATATTTGCATATAATTATACGTAAACAAATATTAGCTTTTATATATTTATTGTAAATATCTTCTCTTCCATTATGCACGTTCAACATATGTAAACTACAGTCCCTCTCTACGATTACATATAGTTAAAGTTAAAATTAAAATCAAAATTTTCCATCTGTTTTTTCACGCGCGTACACGGTGCATTCCATCGGCATCGCACGATTGTATACAGCGCACAATAAGTATACCGTACAGCGTTTTCTGACAATGCACGTACCTCTCGCAGTAAGTCCTGCCACGAGAGAAAGAGGGAAAGACGTGTGTCAAGCATACAAGGGAGGGGGGGGGGGAAGGGTCTCGTGGTCGCGCGAGCACAGTGTGTGACGCGGGATTAAAATTGAATAATTCCACGGCCATATAATATACGGTCACGTCGTGACGTCCGGCGTGTGCGGTGCGCTTCCGCCGCAAAAATTCTACCGTTGGACCACCACCGGCGGCGGCACGGCGACGGCGATGGACGTCAACGAGGACGAACGTGGCTGGCGTAGAATAAATCGTGTGTCCCGGGGACACCGGGAGTCGCGGAAACGAATGACTCTCGTTTTGCTCGCGCGAAGGAAACCGCCTCGGGTCTATCGAGAGCTCTACCTCGGCGGCGACTTTCGAATCGCGATTCTTTCCTCCAATTTTCTTTTCCTCCATTTTTCAATTTTTGCGTCTTTAATTATGAAGACGTTTGACATTTATTGAAGGATTAGCTACCGAAGAAATCTTGGGTGCGCTGATCGCAAAGAGCTTTTACGCGATTCCGCGCTTTCTTTTTGCGGATACGAAACGGATGACGGTATAAAGAGCTTCGTTTCATTGCGATTTAACAGAATTTTTCGCATTTATTCTTGACAACAAATTTCTGGCGTAAGATCAAAAATTCTCGGTAAAAGAAACGTAAATTTTGAAACGGCTAGACTCTCTTCGAGGTATCTCTTCCTCCATATAACCCGCCTATTGTCGGGCCTTTCATATAGTCTATCAACCAGTGATAAAACGGCCAGTAGTAAAACTTGGGGCAACTTGCGGTCTATACCTGTCTCTCTCACTCTCTCTCTTTCTCCCTCTCCCTCTTTCTCTCCCGCTTTTACAGAGTGCATCGTAAATTGTCGTAAACATACTGCCAACGTACCGCGTCAAGATTCTAATTTTCTCTCGTATATATGTATATATATTTAAGTTTCCTTATTAATTTATCCCTCCCACCCAGAAGCAGCCGCGCTTTTGATAAACGCGCGGCAACAAGCAAATTCTTAATCGGATGACCTGAATCTCGATTCAAGCTGAAATTTAAATCAATTGAATTAAATTGTACGTTTTCATCTCTCTCTTAAGAAGCTTAGTTGCAACTGTACGACGTAAATCGGACACTTCATTAAATAAAGAGCGCACAAATTCCGTTTTCAGAGAGGTTACGTTGAAGTATTCAGCGCGTAATATTCTCCGCCTCTTGGACCCTCGTTGAACGGGTCGTGGGGGAGGGGGGAGGGAGAGAAGGGGGGACAGCGGGGGTCCCTCTTCTTCTCTCAGAGCGCGCGTTTTATCGCGCGCTGTCGAAACGCGAACTTTTGCCAAGGGTTACAAGACGTGACGCGGCTTTTTCGCGAGATTAAACGAAGAATTAAACGCTTAATTAAAGTAACTCGCGCGGGCCCCAATTTATGTAATTGACCGGCCGGCCGAGTGAGTCAGTTTCCCTATCGCCGCGCTTATGGGAACCGGCGAATAATTCCAGTCGCTCGGGATTATTGGATTACCTCCCGCTGATTTGCATAGATCGATAAATCAAAAAGACTACCTTGTAAAGCCGACAGCCGCTGTAGATCAGTGATACGTCCGCCCTTGGACCAGGTCGAAGATCAATCGGAATTTTACGCTCGATAATCCTGCGCCTTACGCCCCTTTTCGACGCAACGCGGGCGAGGGAGTAAAGCGCCAGAAACGGACGTGAGATGTAGGAGCGCCGCGGCAAAATGATTCATTGTTCCTATTCGTGCCCAAATTAACGCCGCCCCGGTTCGACACGGACGTATCGTTAGTCGTAACACAGCGGGAACAGAAACGCGGTCATGAGCTACTCGTATCGCAATTTACGTTTCGATTCCTCCTTTCGCTTACTTGGTACGTTTCTCATGCTCCTTCTTCTCCTTCTTTCTTCCTTCTCTTTTTTTTTTTCTTCACGTCCATACCCGCCGGTCCGGCCGCGCCGGAGTATTGATCTCACCTTTCTGAAACATCCTTCACAGCGTGGAGCGCGCTTCCTTCGAATAGAGCTAGCCCTCGGGTAAGCGCGTATGTGCAAACGACGCGCGCGATCAATGATCTCGGCTCCTCCGGTGTCAACGACTTTGACAAGCGCCGGACCGCGCGCGTGCAGTAGAGGAGGGTCAGTCACGCGCGTCCATTAAGGCCGTCGTCTGCGATCGGAATCGCAGATTCGACGTGCAGTCTATATACCTCTTAACGATAACCCATCTCGGTGGCGAGCGCGCCAGCCCACCCCCGTCCGGCTCGTCATGCTGCCCCGAACACAATCGGTTGCGGGATGTCGGGTGGAAAAGAAAGATCCGTCGAGACGTTCCGGCATAGATACGCGCCGGATATGCTTAAATAAAGAATCGACGCCTCTCGACGTGTCACGGGAAGATTTTATGAAATGCGCTCCGTACATTATTCTCCGGATATTCGGTTTTCATTGAATAATACGAGCGCGATCGAAAGAAGACGTGCTCTTCCCTCGCAAGGCGTACTTACATTATACTTATAGAAACGTCTGTCCAAAAGTGGATAGCGAAAAACGCGACAACTCACATTAGAGATCGTCCATATATTACGTAAGCATATTTTTGATCCCCCCCCCTCCCGCCTCCTCTAATTACGTAAGATTTTCCCGATTATGCTCGATGTAAAGTTAATATTGCTCGTTTTTCATGACAGCAGCAGACATGAAAAATTTTACGTAAGGATATATGTACAACCCCCCTCCCCCCCACTTCCCATGTAATTATTTGTCAGAATTTGACTGACCCCTCCCCCTCCCCCAGTCACGCTTAGGTAATATATAGACGGCTCCTTAGCGATCTTGTTTTTTTTTATCTTAAATATTTACCTTGTACAGTCCGTGGACAGATCGGTTGCGAGACACTTTTTTTATAGGTTTCTAATATATATTTAATATACATAATATGTATTTATAGCTAATTAACATTTTGCAAATGCGAATCACGATGTACTATCTTTAATCTAGAGACAGTATTACACCAACCGTGGTTCGCATTTGTAAAAAAATATTAGCGCGTTTTGAAACCTATAAAAAAAAAAGTGTCGCAACCGATCTGTCCACGACTGTACATTGAAATTTTCTTAACACGTACATTATCGCTTCTGGAAATTCAGATATTAACAACCGGACGCACACCTGTAGAATTATAATTAATTCGTCGTTTATCTCAACTATCTTTTACAATATTTTGTATAAAATAAAGCGTTACGAAAATAGCATCTATACAAAGTGCTTCAAACAAAAGCGCACACATATTGTAACCTCGTATTTTTTATATTTATCGAGGTACCTGCTCCGAGAGATAAATAAAAGTATTTACCGCATATTTTATTTATGTACATGATCCGTACGCTCAAGAGCCCGACGCGGCGCACGCGGGGAGAGAAGTAATTAATTTTCGTAGCCCGCTCGCATAAAAATCGATCCCCCTCCTCGTCTCCTCCGGCTGTGGTTTCGTCCTGAATCGCCCGCTCCACGGTCGTTCGCGAGAGATATCGCGAGTAAGAGGGGAGAAAAAAAATTAAGGTAAAAAGAAGAAGAAAAAAAGTAAAGGAGAGGGTACCTCCCGTCGCGTCTAAATTATTCGCGGCTTCCGTAAACAGCGATCTTTTTTTTCCCTCCCTTCAAGGGAGGGATGGGCTTCCGGCGACGAAGGGAGATATCGGTCACGTCGATTTATCTGCGGCGCGCGCGCACCTTCTCGCGCCTCCGGACCGGACTGACGTCCCCGGTCCTCGGGCAATCTCGCCGCAACAGGAACAACGTTTTCCCATTTGGCAGTCCGAAACCGAAGACAGCGCGCGACGACGTCGTGTTCCTTCCCCCGTGAATTTTTCACCCGATAAATCTGTCGCTACCAGACTCCGCGCTGCGCGGGAATAAGTAATGACATTCTCGCGCGAAGAGGAGTGCCGGAAAGAGAGAGAGAGAGAGAGAGAGAGAGAGAGAGAGAGAGAGAGAGAGAGAGAGAGAGAGAGAGAGGCTTCTTCCCCCGTCCTCTCGCGATCTGTCTGCCCGCTTATACGCCGAGAACTGCGAGCCTAAGTTTCGCGCTTTAATGCCATGGATTTTCTATAGCGCTTCCACGGACCACCCGATATCTCCTTAAACTTCGGCAATTATGCAGGAGACGGTCCTATAAAGAAATGTTCGTCGCGCTACACCGCGATAAATATAGGTTCGTGTCTTCTTTCTTTCTCTCTCTCTCTCTCTCTCTCTCTCTCTCTCTCTCTCCCTCTTTTTTTTTATTCACATATTTAACGACGTGAAATTTTGAAACTAACTTTGCAAAAGCCTACTTTAGACGATCCATTATTCGAGTCAGACTTCAGGAGAGCAGAATTCCATTTATAATCTTATATGTCGTATATATTTCATCGTGTATTTTACGATCTTCAGACATTTCTTGTATTACAGGGCACATAAAATTATTAATAGAATTTTATCTTATATATTAATAATAATATTAATTAATGATAATTCACGAATTATAGAGCGTCCAAAATGGGTTTTAGACTTGCACAATCAATGTCACGATAAAGACGTTGCCAGTCTCGTTGCATAATTTCCCTCCTACTAACAAATGCTCTCCATCAATAATTTCCTAAAAGCATGTTCAGATTCAGATTCTTTATTGTTAGTTTACGTTCTAAAAAAAAAGAGGGGACGGGGAGGAAAGAAATTGCGTAATTTTTCTCCGGTGTACGGAAAAGTTCCTATCAGTACGTCCGATCTTCGCGACGCCCGTCAGTCGGGAGATGGATCTCGCTCGGGGGGCAGGGAGGGAAAGGAGAGAACGATACAGTTCCGCGTATATCATACGAAAAGGGAGACTTTTTCCAGAAACGACGACGACGTCTACTCTTCCGCGCCAGAAACTGCTTTTAAGGCGGCACGAAGTTTTCCCCTGCCATCGAGAGGGAGAGAGAGAGAGAGAGAGAGAGAGAGAGAGAGAGAGAGAGAGAAAGAGAGAGAGAGATGAGGTACTGACACAGTTCTATCGAATTACTTATCGAAGCCGCAGAAGGCTGCTCTCGACCCGCGTCGTACGTCACCGACGAGCGAGTACCGGCGACTCCGAGCGGGGTATACACACGATCGTGCTCGCGTATCAGGTTCGCGTGCCTCGCACCGTTCGCCGGTTATTATAACGGATATTAGCGACCGCAAAAGAGAGCGAACGTCTCGCTCGCCTTCGCGCGATGCCGCCTTCAGATCACGTCTTCGTGCGCGCGAACGCGATCGTTTAAACACTCCGACCGTTTCCTGCAATCTGCAGAACACCTCGGATAATCGGTCCTTCGATCGGTTTATATACATATATTTTACGCAGTTGGCGGTATATTATATAATAACCGCCTTCCGACACGCGCTGCGTGAAGACGCGATTACTTCTGAAATTATCCGCCGCTGAGAAAAAGCGATAAACAGCGCTCGCTCGTCCCATCATCCGTATCCCGATCACGCTGGAAGGAAAAGAGAAACAAACTCGCGGTGATTACGGACGATCGAGGAGACGATCTACGTTTATAGCGACGGGGCGACCCCGCCCGAAAGTTTTCGAACAATTTGATCGTATAAAGATTCGAATTGCATCAAATATTATCGGGGAAGTTCTTGAAATTCTCGAAAGTTTCAAGTGCCTAGAAAATCTTTCCTTAGAAGAATGGACCTTTTGCATAAAAATGCTTCAAATACGTAAAAATAAAATTGCTATTCGTGCCTGTTAAGTGAAAAATTTAAATAATAATGTATTTATGAAAAAACGATGTATTTTTAAGACGTTATTAAAGACTTTAAAAACTTCTTGCTTTTGATTGACACGCGAGAAACAATTCTCGAGATTTTCCTCTCACTCGAAGAGATTCACTACTTGCATTCCGCAACATCTGATAATTCTCCACTCGCAAAACTCTAAGTCGCTATCGAATTATAGGGCTCTACCTGATGAAACACCCGAGACGATATATGTAGTCGGCTACCGGCAGAAGGAAGTCGACTTGGCTCTCGTTACGCACGGCGTTTCACGGTACACCGCGACGAGAGACGGTAAATGAAAATATCAGCGCTACGCGAGTCCGCGCTGACGGTGAAAGCCGGATCGGATCTGGGATCGGAGTTCTAATTAATAAAATCGCCCGGAGTCATCGTGGCGATTGTAAAAAAATCTGTTCGTGATTGTGACTTCGAGTCAACGATAATTCTACCGGTTAATTTCGATCTTCGACACGCTACGATGCACGCGAATTTGCGAAATGTAATTTATGTTATCGACATGCATTAACGACGTTATTTCATAATAATGTAATAATTATCACACGCTTTTGTACATCAATAACAAGTATAACAACACCTGTTATACATGTAATATCGATAAAATATATTTTTTTCGCATATGTTAAAAAATCCTGTATAGAGACTCTGCAGAGGGGTCGAAGGGGAGAAGGGAGGGACATAGGGGAGAGAAAGGATCAAAATACCATTTCCATGATTTAATTATTGAATTGCATTTCACGTAAATATGGAAAATGTCGGGAAATAAATAACAAATAAAATATTGCTATACCGGGATAAAATCGCTCTTGGATGCGCATATACGCATAAAACTTTATCGAACAACAAACTATTGTTGACGGCAATAAATACTCTTTCTCTCGGTATTGTTAAAAACGTTTTATTGCGCGCGACGGATCGCAAAACGTCGAATCCTCAGAAAATCGCGCGTAACTTTTCTGGCGAAAATATGGAACTGCCGCCGGCACGAGTGAAACGCGCGCGCGCGCGCGCAAATTTCACTGTACGCGAATAAATTTAGCGAATGTCGCCGGCTGCACGGAAATTAATTAATACCATTTCACGGTACGGCCATAAATAACGTAAGGCGTTCGGGCTATTATCATCCGGCGGCAGCGGCGGCGCGCGGCGGCTGCGGCGGCGGATAGAACGAATTTCTGATATAAATTGGTGACTCTCTCTCCCCCGCGAACAATGGTTGGCCTAAAGCATTTTCGTGTTCGGTATTTGTGTTCGGACAACAATGTAAAAGGGCTTCGGTGAAAATGAAATACGTGTGTACCGTCGGGATACCGAAAGTGCACGCATCCATCCGGGTTGCTGGTGCATGCATATGGAAATGCATCTCGTACTCGCGGCATGGTACTTGCACATATATATGCATTACCACATTGGTTTGCTCAATTGCAAAGTCATAAAATCGTGCACCGATCAGAAATGCAGATTTAATTAGCAAGTACAAACGGAGAGTTCCAGATGAAAATAAAATCGGCCGTAGCTGAGAATTTTCGGTCAAGACGACGAAAATTGTATTAGTATATCACTGTTATCTCTGTATTTAGAGATAATTCTTTATAATTCCCACATTAGAGAATGATTACGTGCTATGATTAAAACTCATAACATCTCACAATGAATACAATACAAAGAGTTTATTTAATATAAATAGAAAAATTCTTCATCAATTTTCAACGCATGCATTTTTCATTTTTGCATTTTTCACGATTTTTTTTTGCGATCTCCACAGGAATGAAGATGAGTTTTCAAGAGGATAGAACATTTTTTTCTCATATAGTTCAAAATTTGACATTAAAATGCGACGCGTATCATCTCGATACGTTATTCCTAAACAAAGTTATGAATTTTTTAGATAGCTGATATATACATGTACGCTAGGACATACCTATATATATATATGAAGGATTAATGGAAAATTTAAAAATTTCTAGAGATCCAATATTTTTATTTCTATAAAATTCTTATATTTTCTAGCTGACGGGACTCTTTGTCGCGGTAATGCTCTCGAGAATTTGCGCAGTTGCGCCGCGCGCTGCAGGTGATCGCGACCGGTCGCGTCTCGCCGCGAGGTCAGATATCCAATCGTAGACAAAATGAGAGATCGGATTTCAAGAGGGATACTTACCGACGTACCGCGGACACGCGTGCAATTACCCGCCAGTTTCACCGGTGATTTATCGCCCGTACGTTTTCGCTAAAGCAAACACACACGGGGCGTCCCGCGGCACACGCCGCGCCGCGGCGCGGCGTGCACGCCCGAGTTACAAAACTCATTAGCATACGTAATGGACGTGGAATTGTGCGCAAAAATGTGGCCGGAATCGAGGGAAAATTTGAATAAAAATCCCTGGCTGGGTCAATTTGCGCGGGTATCCACGGGTACGCGCAAATTACTCGGCCCGCACGCCGCCCGGCCTCTCTCCCGCGCGAAAACTGTTACTGCGGGGCACGTTTTTATCCATTCGATCGCGTCGCGCATGCATTTCGGATTTGTGCGTTCCAGGCGAAACTCGTAACCCGATTCCGGCGAAAAATAACACATTATATAGCTTAACGGGCGGCGCCGCGACGACGTAACAGCACGGGACGCGGCGGTAATAATCGCCGATAATCGGGCGCCGACTTCTTTCGACCGCGCCAAGATACCGCGGCGAAAGCGAAAGGAAGTCGCGAAGTTATCTCGTTTGCAATTTTCCCCCGCGGTCGTTGTCGAGCGATTAATACAAATCGATCGGATCTTGAACTATTGATACTCTCACTCCCCCCCCCCCTCGCGCTTTCGCAGGGAGATACTTTTGCGATAATTATTTTCAACTTAAATTCTTTCCTCGATTTAATAATACAATCGTGGAACTTGCATCTCTCTAAGAATCTCCTCCGAGAGTTTGATGGGAAAAACATCGTTATTATCCTAATGTTTTCCTGTTGTTTCTTTACAGAAGAGCTTCGATAAGAAGATACACTTTAAAAATGAAACTGTCGTAAGAAGCGTCGAATTTTTAAATGGAACCTTTACTTCCGCTCGTTGCCGCTCGTTTCTCCGCGAGCATCCGGAGCTACGCTCTCTTATTACACACATTTCTTCCGTCGCGTGTCGCGGGGAGGATCTTATTCTCCGATCTCCTCGGCCCGATAATCGCGAGTAAAGAGCCGCTTAAGGGAAACGACGGTAGAAAGGCACGTGAGTCTTTTCGACGTTGAGTCTTAAGGATGGCAGAGAGCGGTGCTTCTCGGATGCTTGCAAGCCGACGTCGCTCGTGCAGTCGATGTCGGGGCGGGAGAGAAACTGCTATGACAGTAGGGAACAGCGAAGCGGAATTTGGGGAATGGAGTCCGCCCGGAGCAGCCAGCCGGTCCATGGAAGGAACCAATGTACCGTGAGAAAGCGAACTCAGTCGAAACGACAGAAATGCCGATGGTGATTCTGGGGCGAAACGGCGGCGGCGGAACGATGCGGGACGATGCGGGTATAAACGCCGATCGTGACGATCCGCGTCGCGTGTGAGCGTACATTTTTCCTCTAATTGTCTTTTACCTTGTACCGTCATTTTCGAATTAATGAGAGAACAATGGAAAGACTCGGGGCACAAAAGTAATGTATTGGTTTCCGAGATCGGAGGGGCAGAGAGGGTTGCGTCCGTCTAATTGAAGGAAGAATGGCGGAATAATTGGCAGAGTAGCGTAATGACAAAGAACGCGGAAATGGCGATGGTATATATAGGGTATCGCGCGGTAATAACCGGTTCTTTGACGAATTAAAAGCTAATTTTCCCCTCAACTGTAACGCCGAGGTACCAATTGTTCTCGCTTCGATGAAACGCCGGAGAGGAATTAAGTTCGCTCGCGCGTCCTCTTATTTCTGCCCCGAAAGTTCGCGACCTATCTCGATCGGTCGCCGAAATAACGGAGATCCCATTTCGGTCCGCGCGCGTTCACCCGCCCGCGACGCGGCGCGGAGGAGTAGCTCGGAAAAGAGCCGCGCGGGAAAATTTAATAAATCTCCACGTCGTAATTCCCATCCGGAGTTGAGGCTCGAAGTTGAAGTTTCTGTGTCTCCCGCGATCTTCCCGCACGACGCCCGCGTCCGCGCTCTCGACCCTCGTCCGCTAATAGCGACAAGTTACTTCTGACCCGTCAGCGGAACAGACCCTTGCGCGACGCCTCTATATTTAGACCGGGTCGAACCACCAGAACGGCGAGAAAACACAAAAGAAAGAACACGCGCGCGGGAGAGCAGCGCGGCGCGATGCGGCGCGATGCCGAGCGACGACGCGGGCGCGCCAAGAGACAAGACGAGAGAGAGAGAGAGAGAAAGAGAGAGAGAGACGGGAATGCGAAGGAAGGACCGCCGTCTCTCGACGGCGACGATATCTCGACGTCGTCGTCGAGAAAGAAATCGGATTATGTCCTCCGTGAATCTCGCGACTTCTGGCTCGCAGCTGCGTCACAGAGACGAAACGCAAAAACGCCGTCATACTCAAAGAGCCCGGCTCTGCTGCTGCATCTTCGCTATGCTGGTCCTCCTCTCGACGCGCAACAATAACGCGGAGACAAAAAGCCCGTCAACTCCTCGATGAGTTCGGAGTCGGCTACCGGCAACTTTGACGCTTGACGATCCCACGCGAGCGGAGCGTGGCGATTTTCGATATAATTAAACGTCGAGCGTGCGGGATGGCAAAATCGTGTATTTTAACTCCAAGCCGAGTTTTCGCCCCCTGAATTCTAATTCGTGACAGCGATTGAAAAATATCAAGGACGACAATCAAGAAGAGAATATCGGTACCTTTATTGTGACGGGCATCGAACCGACCGAAGAATTAATGGACGAAGGCCACCGTTGTAGAACACCGCGGGCCCGTGCGGTTTTATATTTGTTGCTTCGCATACGGGAATTGGCGGTGGTAAGGTCGACGCTGTATATTACAGTCAGACAATATGCGGCAAGAAAAAGAATAACAAATTTATGAACGCGAGTTGAACACGACGCAGAAGCGTATTTAACGATTCATGGAACGTGTTTTTGTTCCTATTTCTGTAGTTTAATTTCTGTATACCGCGCGGGTCCTTCGCGTCGGTAAAAGGTTTCGATGTGAAACGTGTACACAATTCGTGCGGGCAATGTCCACTGACTTATTGATACTTTCGTATACGTGAATTTTTTAAATTTATATATATAATTTTCTTTCGTTTTACCAAATAAAAAAACAATCGAGAGAGGAAGAGAGGAATGTGCTAAAATGCAAATTTTATTACATTCTATCGATCAAATTCTTCTCTTAATCACAGGCACGATAATTATTTAAATGGCTATTTGTTTTTTAATTTCTTTTATTTCCAATACAAAATCTCTGCACGTCACAAACACGTCTATGACGTATATTTGTGCATTCATTTTGATGATTCTGCAAGTGCGTTTTAATCGGAAATTGAGTTTCCGTTTTATCTACGTTTTATGTTTGGTCAACCGTAATTGATAACAATCAAATAACGACAAGCGATGGCTGCGAAAATTTTGTAGCTTTATGCGAACGCGAGATAAAGTCAACTTCAATATTCTGAATTTTCTCAAATGTTCAGAAGCGAGACAGAGAAAGCGAGCAAGAGAAGCTGTTTTCAATTATTACTATAATATAATTTATACTTTACCTAGAAACGAAGAATATACTTTGCTGAGACTTGACTAATTTATTCCTCTTTGTGTGAACACGAGTCTTTCTTCAAATATATAAGGGAGAGCGTTTTGCCAAATGCCGTATCGGTCTCATAAAGCGTACCTTTTCAATATTTTGTAGTTCCACTTAATAGAAGCAACATTTAGTAACAAAAATGAAGTAAATAAGAAATAAGACAAAAAATGAACAGGTTGCACTTTGTTTTGTGCATGTTATCAACATTTAAATATTATCAACATTAAAAAAAAACAGATACAATTGATATAAATTTTTGATCAATTTATATAGCTGATACTAATGTAATTATAATCATGCAATTTTTCATTGAATCGTTATTTTTTCCTAAAAAAAGTTTATGATAGCATATTTTACATTCATTGTATATACATATTTATAATTATTATAAAAATTATATTAATATTTTTATCATCTCTGTCAAGTTTCCTAAATCGTACCTAACCAGCATAAGAGTTCTTATATCGTATCGGTACAATTTAGGAACACTAATGTATCTTTATCTTTAGATTACATGGCATAATCAACATTATTTATTTTAACACAATCGAAGTTGTTCTGATGTAGCAAGTATGTAGAGGAAAAAACCGAGTTGCGTAAACAAAACAGCTATTGTTTGATAAATTACAATTAAAGTAGATATTAATTCATAATTCTTTTATCAATCTTGTGTATTTAATTATTTTCATTTATAAATTCAATAGTTTAGAAGGAGGTACTATTAATAGAACTCACAGGTACGATTTAGGCGACCGGTTTGCTGAATCGTGCTTTTGACAGCATGTTACAAAGAAGCTTAGAACAAATTAATTTGCTATTAGTGAAAGATTTAACATGTAATATTAGATGCCTTGAACATCAAGCTACAATTTCCAATGCTCGTTTGCAATCTAAATAGTACCAAATTTGAAATATAACCAAAAATAAGTGATACGTATTCGGCAACTCTCCTCTAAAATTCAAGAACTCGATCTTCATAATATTCAACATTAACATTTTTTATATAATTACCTAGATTACCGCGTTCTAATCAAAACGTTTTTCAATATTCTAAACTCGACTGTTGGGCGAGGAAATTGAGGAGTGTAATATTCCCCCTTTGTGAAAACACGAGTCTTTCTTTAGATGTGTAAAACTCAAGAAAATGATCCTTATAACATTCAATATTAATTTTTTTTATATAATTATGAAGACTGCCGCGTTCTAATCAAAACGTTTTCCGATAAACTCGTGTATTAGGCAAGGAAATTTGAGAGTGCATAATATTCGTCTTTGTGGGAACACAAGTCTTTCTTCAGATGTGTAAAACTTAAAAAATCGATCTCTATAATATTCAATATTAATTTTTTTTTTCATATAATTATGTTAGACCACCGCGTTCTAATCGAGATCGTTTTCCGATATTCTATACTCGACTGTGTATAAAGCTCTCTCGGGATAATAACGACACAAGTCTTCGCGATGCCGTCGAGCACGGAGCGCGCGATTGGAACCCAAGGTGTTAAGGGTTTCTCCCGTTAATAGGTATTTCTGATCTATCTCGCAAAACTTACCCGGCACCGTCGAGAGGAGTATCAAACAGACCGCCAAGCCGCTCATCTTCGCTGATGGATCTGTTGTCTCGCGCAACACCAGCTCGCTTCAATCTCGTATCGACGATCCTTCAACGTTGCCGCCGTTTCATGCCTTATCAGCCCGAGTTAGCGCCCGAAGAGGGAACGTAGCCAAAACTCCCTTTTTCCGCCCTTTTCCTGTTCTCTTAGATTACCGTTCGCCTTGTCTCCCTATTGATTTCGTATATACGAGCCATTAGACAATACAGCGGTACATAAGCCATTGGGCAGAAGCGGTATAATGTTTGTACGCAGATTTTTCTGCACGGTCATTTCGACGGGACATAAATTTGGACGTTTCTTTTTATAGCGTCGTAACGGTGAAGCGGAGTTGAATGCCCGCTAACACGTATTTCCGAAGACTATTTCTTCGAAGTAAGTAAGTAAGAGTGAACACTGAAATATTTACCGTGTAAAATTTCCGTTCACTTTCTATGTTAATTTTTTATCGTGTAAATCTTTCTTTTTTTTTTTCTTTGTGCGCGTCTCCGCGCGTTTTTCCTACAAAGATACGTCAATGCGATAAAAAGAATTTAGATTTTTCCTTCGGCGGAAATTGCCAAGGGACGGGAATAAAGCTCGACTATCTGTCTGAGCGCGAAGATCTCGCTCTGGCGAAATGACGCGGAGCGCGATTCTGTATACCACTGTTGTGCCCAACGGCGTCGGAGGGAAGCTTATCTCGCGTCGTCAGCGGTGCAACGCGCGGTGAGGTACCGCGCTCGCGGATGCTGTGACTGATGCGTGCCGCGCCGGTCGCACGCTTGCTGCACGCCACGCACACGGGAGACCGAGTTCGAGGACCGAGTTAGACTGAACGCAAAGAGTCCGCGGTTCTCTCCACGAGTTCCTCTCAGCCCTACCTAAGGTACAAGACGCCACTGGGTACAACACACGGAGTGCGGCTCTCGCCCGCCTCCCTGTGGATATAACGTTTTCTTCCATCATTAGCCGTACACATAAATATATATACGCACGCACACACGCGCGCTCGTGTGAACGGATGATCAATGTGTGTCGCGTGTATCCATCCGAAAACGGGATGATCGTCAAAGCGAAAATGAAATCATTCGTGGAAACCGACCGTCGGGCTTGATTCGTTGAAGTTTTATTAGGTGAGAAAATTGGGGAGGGTAATATTCCGTGAAGAAGAGGGTCGTTCGTTCTCGGGGAGCTCTTCGTAGATCCGGAAAATTGAAATTGTGCGCTAGTCAACGTAAAAAGGGATATTAAACGAAGTTTCTTATTTTTTAGAAAATACAAGATATTCTCTCGAGAAACATTAACGCAACTCTCTGTGTTAATTTAGAAGTAAGCTTATTCTAAAAACTAAATTATTATATCGCGGCATTGCTGCAATAGTGTCATATCTCGAAAAATAACAATTGGGAGTTATTCATTGGAAAAGATGGATTTTGGTGTGTACTCTTTATCTGGTGATGAATAACTCGAAATTGTCAATTTTCGAGATATGATACTATTGCAGCAATGCCGCGATATGTACTGGTGTTGTTCGATATGTTATTATTTATATTTTTCACTGTAATCGACGCGCTAAATATAACCTGAATTATATTTCACTATTATCGCTTAAAATTATTTCATATTAATTTTTTTTTCGGAGCTACAATCGCACATAAATACTTTTGAACGGTAACGCAAAAAAAAATAATTAATGCGAAAAATAGGTGAATAAAAATAACATATTTTTCAGCTGTCTTTCAACATGTGATTTTTCGCGAACGATAGTTATCGTGCAACTATGTTTTTCAAAGGGCTGAATACGATGAAAGCGATAGAAAAAATGTTATCGGTAAAATTACGTGTTTTTCGCCGTGGGTGGTTATTGAATTTCGCGATGAAAAAAATACTTTCGCATACTCTCGCTGGCGCGCGAAAATTTTAATTCACTACTCGCTGCGGCGCCCGGGAACACGCGCGCCGCAAATAATTGTGGAGCGCACAACAACGGTACCGCTAACAATTGCACGACGACCGCTTTTATTTCGTCTACGGAAATAAGATGAGATCTGCGCCCGATAACGACGGACTTTCGGAACTTTCAAATGCAGTATTTATTCTCATCTCCTATTGAACGCCTTTTTAGGTCACGATATTACAATCGAGTAGTTTTTGCACAATTCAAAATTATCTTTTAATCTACGAGAATATTTCTTATATTATAAGTAAAAATGTATGTACATAAAAATTAATTAAATTGTTATTTTGATATTATATGAGTTATATGAGATATTATATAATTTGATAATATATGAGTAGTTTTATGTAAAAGAAATTGTATAATCTTTCTGCAAAACAGATTCTATTATGAGTAAAAAATATATTTGTAAAAATTAAATTAATAAAACTTTCAACAAATGGCTTTCTAATATATGAACACTTTTAAGAGAAGTTATCTATTTTCTCTATCTTTTAAGAATAATCCTTACAAGTATTATTCGGCTGTAATAAATTGCTAATTTTCTTCTATAAACAGTTTTTATATGACAAAATTATATCAGCTGGAGAGACATGATCGTGCGCTAAAAAGGACGCGTCGGACTGGATTGAGTTTTACAACTATACTATTGATTATATATTTATATCTTGCTTGTACTTTTTCTTAAATTGTATAGTTTTTTTACGAAAACGTATATTTTTATGCTCGAATATGATGTGTAGATGTACCTAAGTGTCCATATAGTTGTAGTGAGCTCGAGTCCGTGCGTTCGCTACGCTCTGCAAACGACAATGTCGACAATACGAATGCTGCGTTGTCCCGGCTCGACTCAAGAAAAGACCTAGTGGCGCCATCTGTTAGTGGTAAAGGAAAGCTTCTATCGAAAGCGCTAACAAATATCCGGTGCCGATATATTCAGTAATTTCAGTATTCACAACATAACCTCAGCTTTGAATAAACTCGTTCGTTCTAACTAAATGAATTAAAAACTAATTACCGGTCACTGCCAACGGGCGAACCGTTTATCAGACTGTATGTTCATCATCTTCCAGTTCTTTGTCCAGCGTTTTCAATATGCCGACGATGCAAATGATACCGCAGTTTATGCAAGTTACTCAATTGTGATGTAACAACTGATATAATCATCAAAATATAACTGATAATTAAACGCATATTTAATAAATATAATATATCAAGCTTAATACGGATGAAATCTACATTCATTATTTTAATTCTAGCAGATATCTCAAGTGGCACAGATAATCGCGCCAAGCGATCAGATCCAGCAAGGGCAAGCAATTGCTAGTTATAGTTTACCGCAGTTGCAAAATCTTCAGATAAATATATAAATTGGATTTAATAGAAAATATGAAATAATTTTCCATTTCATGTTTATTTAATTTTCTAATACTCCAACCACTCTCCTATAAAATACACGGGTTCGGAGACTCGCTGTCTATAAATCGGTCGCTTTCACGAGGAACGAGTCATTTCTAAACAATCAATCGTTTATCATAAGAAGAGCACGATATATGTTACATTACTTTGTTAAATAATTAGTTTTTACTTATTCGTTTATATGCTTTTGATGAAAAACACAAAACTTATATAAAAAATTCATTATAAATATTTGAAACATCATGTCAAAAACAAGATAAAAGATGTCTTACAAGTCTTATGACCCACTTTCGAATATGCTATTGTAATACTGTCTAGAAGATATTACAGGATTGACACAAACTCAATTTGTACAAATAGAATAAAGAAAATTTGATAATAAAATATCAGTGTCATGTTAATGTATTTTACTCAAGATCTGTGTTATGTTGATATTTTTTATTCAAGGAAATTATTTCATAAAAAGGTTATAAAAAATGAGAAATTATATACTATGCAAAATTAATTCCTTTATTCATAAGGATCTCCCCCAAGACTTTCATGTGCGAATTAATAAAATTATAAACTAATAGAATTTACCGTAATGAAATTAAATAATATAATACACATCGATACTTCCATAATTCACATCGATAATTCAGCATGGTACTACTACAAATTGATGCTTTAGTGAAAAAAAAAATGGAATCACAGATCTCCGCCTCTAAGTCGAAGTACAAGGTGAAGCGTGGACTCTTTCTGAATGTTGTAATCAGAAAGTGTGCGGCCGTCCTCGAGCTGTTTACCGGCGAAGATTAACCTCTGCTGATCTGGAGGAATACCTTCTTTGTCTTGAATTTTCGCCTTCACGTTTTCGATCGTGTCAGACGCCTCAACTTCCAACGTGATGGTCTTTCCTGTCAAGGTTTTGACGAAAATCTGCATACCTCCACGAAGCCTCAAAACCAGATGCAGGGTGGATTCCTTCTGAATGTTGTAGTCAGACAGTGTGCGGCCGTCCTCGAGCTGTTTACCAGCGAAGATCAATCTCTGCTGATCTGGGGGGATACCTTCTTTGTCCTGAATTTTCGCCTTCACATTTTCGATCGTGTCAGACGCCTCAACTTCCAACGTGATGGTCTTTCCTGTCAAGGTTTTGACGAAAATCTGCATACCTCCGCGAAGTCTCAAAACAAGATGCAGGGTGGATTCCTTCTGAATGTTGTAGTCAGACAGTGTGCGGCCGTCCTCGAGCTGTTTACCGGCGAAGATCAATCTCTGCTGATCTGGGGGGATACCTTCCTTGTCCTGAATTTTGGCTTTGACATTTTCGATTGTGTCCGAAGCCTCAACCTCCAGTGTGATGGTTTTACCCGTGAGCGTCTTGACGAAAATCTGCATACCACCACGAAGTCTCAAAACCAAATGCAACGTGGATTCTTTTTGAATGTTGTAATCAGAAAGCGTGCGGCCGTCCTCGAGCTGTTTACCGGCGAAGATCAATCTCTGCTGATCTGGGGGGATTCCTTCCTTATCCTGAATTTTGGCTTTGACGTTCTCGATCGTGTCAGATGCCTCAACCTCCAGTGTGATGGTTTTTCCTGTTAAGGTTTTAACGAAAATTTGCATACCACCGCGAAGTCTCAAAACTAAATGCAATGTGGATTCTTTCTGAATGTTATAATCAGAGAGCGTGCGACCATCCTCGAGTTGTTTTCCGGCAAAGATCAACCTTTGCTGATCTGGGGGGATTCCTTCCTTGTCTTGAATTTTGGCTTTGACATTCTCGATCGTGTCTGACGCCTCAACTTCCAACGTGATGGTCTTTCCTGTCAAAGTCTTGACGAAAATTTGCATACCACCACGTAAACGGAGCACCAAATGCAAAGTAGATTCCTTCTGAATATTGTAGTCAGAAAGTGTGCGACCATCCTCGAGCTGTTTTCCGGCAAAGATCAATCTCTGTTGGTCCGGTGGAATGCCTTCTTTGTCCTGAATTTTTGCTTTGACATTCTCGATTGTGTCCGAAGCTTCAACCTCCAAAGTGATGGTCTTTCCTGTCAGGGTTTTAACGAAGATCTGCATTCCACCACGCAGTCGGAGAACCAAATGGAGAGTGGATTCCTTCTGGATATTGTAGTCTGACAAGGTGCGCCCGTCCTCGAGCTGCTTTCCAGCGAAGATCAAACGCTGCTGATCAGGCGGGATGCCTTCTTTATCCTGAATCTTCGCTTTGACATTCTCAATCGTGTCCGAAGCTTCGACCTCCAAAGTGATAGTCTTTCCTGTCAAAGTTTTAACGAAGATCTGCATTCCACCGCGCAGGCGGAGAACCAAATGGAGAGTGGATTCCTTCTGGATATTGTAGTCGGACAGGGTGCGGCCGTCCTCGAGCTGCTTTCCAGCGAAGATCAAACGCTGCTGATCAGGCGGGATTCCTTCCTTGTCCTGAATCTTTGCCTTCACGTTCTCGATGGTGTCGGAAGCCTCAACTTCAAGAGTTATGGTCTTCCCAGTTAACGTCTTCACGAATATCTGCATGGTGCTCTGTAATAAAATTTCACATTATATAGAAAGATTATTCTTCATATGTATGCATACGAGAAACTATATATAATGTCTAAATCGATTCCAATTATTGACACGGATATTTACAGGCAGATCTAAAAAAAAATTTCTAAATCGAGTTTACGAATTGAGTCACAATAATAATCGCTAAACCAAGAAAATTGACTGTCAGCGGATCATAGCTGCTTACATGACGCAGTAAAATGGACGGTCGCCATTTTAGTTGGCTTTGTAATGCTATGGTTATCAAGCGTTCGACGCCATGTTACGGTCAGAGGAAGACACGTAACTGAATAGATGGATATTGGATGGATTAATTCGACGATTTTTTGCTCGTTTCCTGCATGTTTCTACGTTGATGCGGAAACGGAATCGATTGGACATCGAGATATACTAATCCAAAAAAAATTTGCCAATCGAGATAATCCCGCAATCTACTCCGCCTAGCAACAGCCTCGAAACAACGATCGATATTGTGCGCATTTACAGATTTTGGAAATGACGTGCGAATTCGCGAGGAAAACGTGCGCCTTATTAAACGTAGCTTTTATCGGTGATTCACCGAACAAATTCCACGATTATTATTATTATTATTAATATTACCATCTACGCCAAGTTTGTGCGAATAAACTGAATTTTCGGCCAAAAGAAAAGATTCAAGAACCAAGAATTTCTATCGGCAAGAATAACGAACGTACCTTTTGTTTGAAAGCTTCTCGCTGACTATAGTTCACGCAATACTAGAACTTGAATCGTACGACACTCCTCTCAACACGAGCTCACAATGATTATTGAAACCCCGGGCGACGCGTACCTCGCTTTTATACCCCGAGTCACATATGACTCAACGCTCGCGTCCGATTGGCCGAGGTACGTCGACGACGACGCCGATTTGCTCGTCGGTCGTGTGTGTGGTGTGTGTCATCGATCGGCATGACGTCTGCGGATCTCCGGGTATCGACTTGGCAACAAAGAGCACTCCAGAACGTTCTGCGTAATTCTATTCTAGCGCTACATGTATACATACAGACCGTCGCAAAAATTAATCGCCTCATTTTAAACAGCCATATATCTTTTACGGGCTGTGAAAGAATAATATAAAGTATATTTAAAGATATATACTCCGAGTGTATTCCACCTGATACGCCGGAAATAATTCAATTGTAATAAATAATAATTCGATTATTGACGTGTAAATTTCATCGACGATTCCTGGGAATCCAGGGTTTCATGAACGGCGTAAATAATTCCGAAAATCAATTCGCAAGAGCGCGAGCAAATTTTATCGAATATCGAACGTGAGAAAATTAAACTGCGAAGAGAAGATTAAGAGTAAATATTTTTTTAGGAACGAATTTAAAACGATAATTTTTCTGATAATTTGAAAAATCGAATTTTAATTGCCATTTACAATTTGCGTTTTTATTCCAATCAATTTTCAACATTTGATACGCTAAGGAAGTGAGACGATTAATTTTGCGATACTCTGTACGTACATCTGTCCCCATTTATCAGAGACCGAAACCGTTATAATTTCCTGCTTGAGCTCAACTTTCGAAAATAATTCTCACGCTTATCCCCACGTATATGACACTCCTTTTATTAATACTGTAAATGAAACATTAATGATGCGAGATGATGCAATTCTTTCTTAATATTATATAATGATTAATATAAAAAAAAAGTATTCTCTCTTACGTCAGAAGATATTTGTGACTAAACGCAATAAATTGCTTCTTTGAATAATAAATACTTGGGAATAATTTCGATAGATGGAATGTTCACCGAACGTTCGTGCTGTTCGGCTGCTTTTCTTTAATTTATCGCGCAGAAACTGTTTTCGCTAAATAAACGGCTGTAGAATTATTTAGTCGAATTACTTATAATTAGTTGCATCAAGAGTCGCCGAATGCGAACAAGATTTCTTGGAAGTTTCTGACAAAATTAATCATCTTTTGTGATCACTTCAAAAAATATTTGTACTTATTTAAAACGTTTATATTCGACTTACATATGTTATCTGATTGATTTCACTGGCTGTATCAAATTCCGTATTAAGAATCAAGAGCATTAATAAAAGAAATTATTTTCAATTTTCATTGTACAAATCGAATGTGTCGACATGCAAAAACAAAACTGCAATGTAATAAAATAGAATTTGCAAAACTGCCGAGTAAGCAACGTCGCAGAAAATGACTTGCAAACTGATGCGTTACAATGGTGCACGAAAATATGCTGTAGATAACGCGTTAATAATCAGCAACTATATATAACAACATTGTCCTTGGAGAACATTCCTGTCTTTTTGCTTTTGAAGTAAGAAAATGTTTTTCAAACAATAATTTGCTTCTTATATAAAAATAAACTAAGATTTAACACAAAAATCCAATAAAACTGATGTGCTTAAATCGTAGAATATAAAAACATATATGTATGCTTAAAGATACTTCAGATTCGAAAAACAATGACTAACAAATAAATCGCGTGTATTCCAGTGATCTTCGTCTTCAAACTCAGGTACGCATTATCTTTCGCAAACGAAGCATCGAAGTTAAAGAGGAAAGGAGTGGCACCAAAGGAAACTAGCTTAATAAATTCTTTCGATCGAGAACATACCAGTAGACTCGTCAGTTGTCGTACACATGTTCGCTTTATTCAATGATCATTCAAAAATATAGAACAGAAAATCTACACAAGTCAGAAGAAATTCACTTGAATGAGGGGACAACATCTGAAAGTTGAAAAGTTTTTTTTTTAACTTGGGTCGCACGAAATTCTGCAAATGAAACTAACCGATTTATAATGTGTTAGAAAAACAAAACGTTAACACGTGCACTTACTCCACGTCGGGATCACCAAGCATCCAAATCATCGAGTTATAAATATCTTGTTCCTATTTTCTGCGTGAGTCACGTATTGTGACAATAGCATACATCGTAAAGGGTTGTCACTTTGTGCAGAAGTGAGAGAGAGAGAGAGAGAAAGGATATAATATTTTCCTACACGTACAGACTACGCACACGACATACACACAAAATTTCAGTACAGTCCTATTGCCTACTCTTAACTTCAAACTTATTAAAAGTTTATTATTAATGTTCGTCGTCGTACTTCCTCTTGTTTACCTATACCACACTCGTTCGTTAGATTCTTCCTGCTCGTATTCGATTCGCCGTTAACCGAGATAAACCTAACCGCCTCCCAGATTCAATGAACGTGTCCGTCAGTTTCGTCGGTACAAATCTAATATCAGAACTAATATAGTCATCACATACGTCCGAGAAAATTAGCCAAGTCAACTTAAGCTTTGCCTAATGCAGCGCTACCTTCACTTTTGTGTGACACGCTTATAACATGATGTTGAATACATCGTACGAAAGAACCGATTATCATTGTCATGAAGTAAACAAATCCGCAAAGACGTTCGAGACAAAGCGCTCTATTTGTAGCGCGACAAACGCGTCTCTCTCGTATCTCTCCCTTCGTCTATAATCTTATCCGTTACTCAGATTACGTTCTAAAAATCATGACAAGCATCGGCCTAGAATTGTCTCGAATTGTCCTCAACCGAAGACACCACCTCCTCCTCCTCCTAAACAAGCAACTGACACGGCGGGGGGAAAAAAACTGCTTCCTTACATTAGACAATAGGTAATTCGCATCGCCGTACGAATGTTTTGGTAGATCTTCTATTTGGAGTCTGTCTCCATTTTGATCTCCTCCGCCTTTTTGTCCTTCTTCGAAGCCTCGCTGTCCGTGCCCTCCCCGTTGCTGTTGTCGCGTCTTCGCTTCCGGGCAAATCGTCCCTTGAACTTCGGCGGCGGCAGTTGCTCCATACCCAGGACTTTGTGAATCTGGCGGAACGCCACTAGTCGCAGTGCGTGCTGCGCGGACGCGGTTATGTCTTCCCGCTGTTGGGACGTCATATTTCCTATCGCGTCGACCGGCTCCTTCTCGCACGGATCGGATAATCCTGAAGCGAGACACATTTATGAATCAACATTGCGTTCCGCACGTTATCTTTGGATCAATAATAGAACGTCTGCAATTTTGATCAGATTGCCATATCATCTGCGCGTATCGCGGAATGTATGATTGCGATGCAGGAGAACAAAAGACTTGTGCTCAAGATCAACAATCACTCTCCACAATACGCTCAGTCTCGTCATCTTTTTCATCATTTTAAAAATAGGAAATCGATTAGAAAACATAGCGTGATAAAAGTGAATTATAGGAAATTTACCTGGACTACCCGGTAGCAATATTCCTCCAGCTACGCATTCCAGAAGTCTTCTTAAGGCTTCACCGGGACTAAGAGGACCTCCCGCGGTACTGATCACTTTCTCAGTCAGCAATTCCAATGCCTGTACAGATGTCGAGCAGCGAGTTATTGAGAATCGAGAAGTCGTGGGGGAAGTCGCACGGGGATAATTAATACGGGAGATAAAATACGTATACTAACCCAAGGATTTAGCGGACCCCATGTTGGCACACGATTGCACAGGTCGCGCATTATACGGATAACCATAACACAGCTCTGCAGCGAGGTAGCTCTAGCCTGTTGAACAGGATTGACATTTCAAAAAAACTACGATTTAATATAAGACGCGATAGACGCGCACTTGGCTCTCCTGGAGATAAGACGGCCTAAACTATCCTTCGATTTGCTTTGTGTGGGCTTTAGCTATCCTCCCAGCCTCGTGCCTAATGCCCCTAATAGTATTAGCCCATATCAATATTACCGGGTGTTTATCGATCAAATCTTTCCTAAGACGTTAGTACCCTGTCGCAATAATTAAAAAAAAAGCCAGAGCTCATGTATATCAAGTAAACTGTGCATGTATTTTTCAGAGAGCAAATCTCTAGGACTCGACTCTACAATCTACAAAAAAAAAAACACCCGGTACACTTATGACGCGCTACTGTGTGTTTGTGCTTGTCTGTCTCTTTTAATCTCCAAAGCTGTGCAATTGACAAATGCACATGAAAATTGTTACACAATACAAAAATGGAACGAAATACATAATCTCACAAAAAGCAGTACTGACGCTATTTATACGTATCGATTTGCTTTCAAGTTTTTCAAGACAGACCTAGAACAGACGCAGCCTAGGCTACAACGCATTAAGGACGATCCAGAATAATGAATTATGCTTGATCGTAAAGCAACCGAGCGGTCTCTGCGTTAGTAAAGAAAATAAAGAAAATCACATTCATTCTAAGGAGACAAATGAATTGTACTCGAATTGCGACGTCTTGCAGTACAGTTCCTATTATTCTGGATTATTGAAGATTTCAAAGCGAAGCAGATGTAAATGCATCTAGCAGCGTTTTTGCGCGTGACTGTCGAGATAAACATTTACATGTTGCTTACTTGCGGAGGATTTCTTGCCTGATAATATATCTGATCGCATGTTCGATGTGCGATTTAGCTTTCTCTCCCACGTACGGACGATGCCACTGTTACCCTGTGTGTGGTTATTTCGGAACTATTTCGGATCATTCCAAATCAATATAATAATAAACGTGGTCCCCGAAACGTAAACGTAAAATCTAAAATCTCCGAAGGAGTACAGTGGGCAAGGCCGACTGGCGTGTTTCAAAAAATTCAGCGGATATGGAAACGGCGAACATCGAACGTGATCAAATAAGCAATTCAGACAGAATTGTGTCAACGACGGGTCGGTTAATGATAAAAAATAAAACCGTCACAAGGCTGGAAGTTTCTAAGACTGCTTTTTCTCTTTTTCTTTCTTTTCTTCTTTTCGTTTTTGATTGAGTTTTTGTTTTAAGAGAGACAGAGAGAGAGAGAGAGAAAGAAAGAAAGTACAACTTGCACGCGTCTCGCGTTGTTTTGTCAGGAGAAAATAAAAGAAAATGGCTTCGTTACAAATAGCGCCAAACAAGATGTGGCACCGAGTTTCTTGAACTGAGTGTTAATGGATTCAAACCTGAAACCACTTCGCATGCCTGAGTGCAGCTAAAGCCTCCAAACACTTAGCCTTGGGAAGTACATCTGGTGGGTCTGGTTTCGTCACGGTGGGGGCCGCGGGCGTTGTTTGCAGTTGAGCAGCTTCCTGCTGCTGCTGTCCACCATTATCTGAGATTTCAACAAAGAAAGCACAACACGCTTAGACAACACTTAGAGTGTTTGATCATGCCCAGAGATTTTCGGTATTCCCTCTCTCTATTAATATTCAGTTTCAAAAACTTAAGCACCTTTAAATTGTGGGCTGTATAATAACCGTAATAATGCCAACGTGAAAAAAGAAATATAAAGAGCCTGATCGAATGTAGTACGTTTGCAATGCACCGAGTTCACCCCCGTTAAAACGTTCTTTCTCGGATCTGGTTTTTTTTTCTCTGCCGCTCAAGAACGCCCGACGATTCCTATCAGCATCAGTAGTGTCACCTCTATCCGCTCAAAAGGTAGGTAGCACCGATGCCAATAGAACGGGTCGGTTGAGATTCACGAGGTACGTAATGCGCATCGCAGAATGCGCGTACAGCATTCGATAACAGTCAGAGGGATTTTCTGTCTTTTTTTATGCATGATCAAAAAGTCCATAGTTTTAAGATTGCCTCAGCGTTGTTTCCTCCTATCGCAAGCGTGTCCACGTTCAATGAAATCTCTCGTTAGTATCGTTCGTGGGTGGAGATTCCTTAGCTCGAATATTAATTGTTCTCGTTAAAAAAGTATATACAAATCGGCCGCTATAAACGAAATAACGCGCGACAATGGAGACCCCGGCGTCTAACTGTAATTTCATTTTACGCTCTCTTTTGTTCTGCGAAATTTATCTTAATATCGTCCGAGTATTGTTTTGTGATATACTCTTGCAATCGAATATGTAAATGAATGCTACAAAGAGGGCTCTGTCGTGGACACACTAAGACACGCAGCTATATCGAGAAAGGAAAATTAAACTTTCATGTTAGAGCGTATGTACACTGGCAACCGTCGAATCGTCCTTGGCTGCCCCCGCATCGTCCTGGTGCTTAAAAAAACTTACAGAAAATCTTCCGGGCCATGAAAAGAACAAACTAAATCGTACAAATCGCAGAGTAGATCGAGAAAACGGCATGAAAATAAAAAGGAGGTGCATAATTCCGTAAAAAACCCCGCTTCGCCTTTATAGTTATCCTTTTCTTGGCCACTATAAAAATGCGAAACAATGAAATCACCTGCTGCTGCAGTCGACTTTGGTGACTCACGCATCAGGGGACTGGTGAGCGTCACGCTGACGGTGACCGTGCCCCCCGAGACAGTTAAAGCCGCGGATTCCGGATGCTTTCCGACGTTGTAAGTTTCTTCAGGAGATACATTCTTCAATTCACCTGGCAAAATCTCGGCGACCTTATTGAGCAATGTCCTATGAAATCGAATAATCTTGTAAGCTACAATTATAATATGCATGCGATTACAATGTATACTACACCAGGAAATCTGACGTACCTAGTAGGTTTCTCTGCGCACAAAACAACAAGACAAACGTGATTATCACCGGACAGCAACAGCCCCTTAGCCAAGTTTCCGACACGCATAACGCCACGAAGTATCCTGGAATCTTCTTTTTCCTTTTGAAACGAAAATAGATTCCCATCGCTTCCATCTTCCTTTTGTGGCGTGATTGCCTTCTTCTTGTCAGCCTCTTCTTTCTTCAATGCATCGGCATTTGCCTGCGGAGTACCGGCTGCTGGTACCGTTGCTGCCGCGGTAGCATTGGCATTGGCAGGAGTATTCTTTTTACCTGTAACACAAACACAAGATGTGCGTCCATGTAAATCCACGAAATTGAAATTTGTGGGAAAAAGAAGGATGCTTAAAGATACTCACCAGCCTCAGCCAAAGCATCCGACACAAACTTCAATGCTTTCTCGGTGTTAGAAACTATTTTCTGGACTGCTAACAGTTCTTGTTCCTTGGGATAAATAGTTGTATGATGCGCCAATACATGTTTGTCGTCCGACGAATCCGGTCGCCTCTGGGGGCCTGGGAACATCATCATAGGCGGTGGTCCTTGGAACGGACGTGGCATCGGCGGGGCACCCGGTCCACGGCCGTACCGTCGGTACCACTCGTAATACTCGCATTCCTCCTCGTAGCGGCGTCTCTCCTCCCAATACATCATCTCCTCGTCCATCATGGGCCCCATAGGTCCCAACTGATTGATCTCTTCTCTGCGCCGTAAATACTCGTCGCGCATTTGTTGCCTACGTAGTTTCTCCTCCAGCATCTTGCGCTGCTTAAGGCTCGGTTTCATGTCGACGATCAAATCAGGATTGACTTTCTTCTTGTAGGCGAATCTGTGACGGCGGCCCTTCATATGCATGTCTTTGGCATTGGGATCGTTGAATCGGCACTCGCATAGCTTACAATTGAAGCTTATGATCTTTCCGTCCTCGGATTTATTCTCCTCGATGTACTCCTGGCCAACCGGTTGAATATCCTTCTCATCGACCGTCGACTCTTCCACAGTTTCTTCGGCAGCCGGTTCCTCCTGCTTAACCTCAGCAGTTTGATTTTGATTCACCGTACCCAAGTTTCCAGCTGAAACATTTCAAACAAATGCAACTGAGCATACGAATTGTCTGTAAGTCATATAAACTCTCATTAAAAAAAGATCACTAGATTCCAATAACCTCTTGTAAAAAAAAAATGCAAAAATATACTTACAGGCGACGAAATTGATTTTAGGCGTTGCTGTCACTGTCGGCTTCTTGGTAGTCGCAGCTTTCGCGGCTGCAGCTGGTTTCGGGTTTAGAACGGTGGGATCCGCACTTGGTATCGGTTTCCCAAGTTTAGTGTGCAATTTGACGACCTTCTGATGCTTGGCACCCCTAATGTGAGCGGCGTAGGCATCGTTTCCAGTGCAAGTCACATCACAAAGTTCACAGCGAAGACTGTTGCCTGCACCGCGCGCCGGTGGCTGCTGCGGCACCTTCAAGGAAGCCTCCTTCTTCTTGTGCTTCTGTCCCTCCAGATGCTCGCGATAGGTCTGTGGCCCGGCGCAGCTGATCTTACAGACATCGCAATAGTGTAGTTGCTGAGGTTTAGGTGGCTGCTTGGGCCGCATTGCCTTCATCCCTCCCCCACCAGCTCCGAATCCCTTCCGTCCGTAGCCCTGCCAACCTCCAGTCTTCTGGTTAGTGGAATTGCTGTTTGCACTCTGTTGGGCTACATACATAGTCGCAGCGCTATATAGCGCTGCGTCGTAGCCGGAATACGTTGTACTCGCCGTTTCTAAGGGAAATGAAATTGAAACCTCAAACTTTGGAGGGGTCCCAAATCATTCGTATTTTCGCGCGGCAAAAAACTTTACACTATTACTCATTTTCAAGATGCATTCGAAAAGATGAGCTACGAAGAACTCCACGACGGAACACCGACGGGGAAAACTGATGTAACTGATGTACTCGAAAGTGCGCTCCATACTTGGGAGCGGAAAAATAAAAGAGATTTCCGACTTCTGCTAAATCCTCGAACTGTTAATCACGATCGAGAATGCTAGCAGAGCTTTGCAAAATTTTTTCTTTTCGCATTTTTCGTTCGTACGTATCGTGAGAGGATCAATTTCATGTTATTAGTTTCTACGTCACAGTTAGTGGTCAAGAGAGGACCGAAAGTATTCAGAGATAAATGTATTAAGGTTAGCATACTTACTATTTGTCGCGGTTGATGGGGTCGCGGCGGGCGTAGCTGGAGCAGTGTATCCCGACGAATAAGTAGCGCTCTGCGTAGGATTCGATTGCTGATAAGCTGTACTAGATGCTTGATAGGTCTTAGCTTGACCAGTCGTAGTGGCTTGTCTGGCAGTGCCAGTGTAGGCACTGGTCGTACTGTAAGCAGGTTTTGCAGCCTGATAGTGTGTTTCAGTTGTGGTGTATGTTGCTGCAGCAGCTGCTGGTTGCTGGTAATATGTTTTGGTAGCGTCGTACGTAGCCGCCGGAGCAGCTCGTCCGTAGCCGTAGTCGTAAGTTTGAGCTACAGTACCAGGATTCGCAGCTGCAAGAAGAAACGTCTATTGCAATGGTGCAGCTATTTTTGTCACATTTGAAATAATTTGGAAATAATAATTGATGATGTACAGAGAAAAACAAAGGAAATGTTTAATTCCGATACGAGTAGAAATATTCTTATTTTACTTCTTACTATATAATTAATATTTTATTTATTTCTCCATTTTCAATAATCAATCAATCAATCAACTGACTGTTGGAAGAAACATATAGAAACTTGTATAAAGAATCGTTTGGTGCAGGTGCAGCTCCACTCGCTACACCTGAATCCAGTGGAGCATGTTTCCCCATAATATTCAGATGCTTATTCGAGTCTTCGAAAAAAAAAAAGAAAAAAGTTTATGCTCCGAAAAAGATGGAACATTCGCGCGAGATATGTCCATTGATTGGCATACACTCGGAAATCTTAAATATCTCTCACAAGATCGATCGCGCAACGTGAGATTCGTGCTGCGGAGGGTCTCACGTAAGAAACCTACCTGCGTAAGTCGTCCCGGTCGCGGCCGCGGCGGCAGCCGCCTGATAGGTTTCGTAGCCGGTCGCGGCTGCGGCAGCGGGTCGTTGAGTGTACGTAGCAGCGGTAGCCGCCGGGGTTACCGCGTATCCCGCCTGGCCGGTCTGATATGCGGCGGCGCTGGTCGCCCTGTTGGTGAAAAGCCAAAGCGTTAGAGCCGTGAATTATCACGTGCGGCGGCCCGTCGTGGGTCCGCGCGAGGAGGCGAGACGCGGCGCCACGGACATCGGTGACGGGCGCCGACGAATAGGAAAATCTATCTCGGAGGACGAGGGGGACAGACGCTCTCGACTCCGGACGCCAATCGCTCGGCGGCGAGAGAGAGTAATGGCCGCCGAGCCGGCTGGCCGCCCTCGGGCGGCGTGCGAACGTCGGGCGCACGAACGGCTTTCCATCGGCACCGCGGACGCGCGCGCTCGCGGCCACGGGATCCTCGCCCCCGGCTTAACGCTAGCTACTTAATGACAATGATAATGCAGACGTTTTCGTACCCATATTGCGTCCCGCCGTGGGTGAAGCCGAAATAATTGTTCTGAGCCATCCTTCCTCGCGGAGAGAATCTCGGAAAGAAGGACAATGGAGGAAGTCGTAGGGCGTGTGCCGCCACGAGCGTACTTCGATAGAACGGCGGCGGCGCTGCCGCGCGCGCCGATTGGCCGGCACGGCCGCGAACGGCGCGCCCTCGGTGGCCGTTTCCGCGCGCGCGCGCGAGAGAGAGAGAGAGAGCCGGCCCGGCGGCGCGACTGCCGCACTTCCGCGCGACCAGCCGCGAACGTACGACGCGCCCGCGCACTCCGCACACCTGGTGCGGTGTGCCGCCGGCACAGAATATATATGTAAGGTCGCCGTGCGGACGAGGCCGCCTGTCGCCGGAGCGAGCTATATCTATAACTACGTGGGTCTCGCGCACGAGATGGATATGTACGGAAGATGAGTACGTGAGAGAGAGAAAGAAAGAGGGAGCGACAGCGCGCGCGGGGAGAAACAACCGGGGCCGTGTCTTTATATGCGGTCTTGATCGAGCCTCAGAAAACTTACTGCGTGTCTCTCGGCTATTCTCCGGGTACGCCGGGGGTAGCAGTGGAGCGCGGAAGAGAGAGAAGCTCGCCTCGACAATAATTTTCTCTGGGCCGTGTGACTCGCGTCGCCGCGCGACGCGGCGCATCGAACATATATATATACGTACGGCGGCGTGCGCGCGGGGAAGGGCTCGAGTCTCTCGTGTCGCTGTCGTGGGACGCTGTCAAAAAACGTGCGTGCGTGCGTACAATATACGAGATACACGCGCAACGGCCGCGCTCGTTTGTTCGTCGGCCTCGCCGCCGTGCCCCGTGTGCGTGACTGCGTGCCCGAAGGCGCAAAGCCAGCCAGCGCCGCCGACGCGCCGAGGTGTTGTGTGGCTCCGGTCGAGCAGCTCCGAGCTCCGACCAGCTCCGACCCTCCGACTTCGCCCGTTGCGCCTTCTGGCCGTCCGCCGCGAGTTTTACCGTCGGTGCCGGTGTGGCCGGGTGCTGCAGCCTGGCGCTATCTGGCAACGTCCGCCGGCAACCCGTCGCCGCGTTTCAAGGAGTATCGCGTCGGCGGTTTTTATACTCGTGAAACATTTTACTACACGACACGCGCACGTTGAGAACGAAATCTAATCGTAGGACGTAGGGCGCGGTCCACTTGACGATCAGTAAGGCGGTCAGTAATCAGTAATAGCGCGCAGCTTCGCGATCACGTACGTTGTTTGTTCGTCCGCGTGCTGCGCGGCGAGATTAATGAAAGTCGACTGTCGCTTATATACTTCGCGAATATACACCATTGGCAGAACGCCAATTAGACGCGGCGGCGTCTAATACCGTCGCGCGACCGGCTGGGAATTAGAATTATACAATACCAATTTTTCCACTCGCTACTTTCCGTATTTCACTGGGAGATCTGGCAGACGTCAAGATGCATCTAGCAACTGTCTTCTTATTACTGATTTGTTTGTCGTTCTCGACTGCCTCTGAACTCCCCAAGAATATCGTGCTGATTGTTACCGACGATCAAGACTCCGTTCTAGACGGCATGGTATATATAGCGTCTTTTGTTAACTTTCTTTTTTTTTCAAACTCATTAAAAAATAAAAATATAAAGACTTGTAACATATATCGATTATATAAATTTATTGTAACGAAAAAATTATAACGTAAGAAATCATGAAATAAGATTACAATTATATTTTGATTAAACAAATAAAGTCAAATATATTGCGGCCTTGCATACTCATTTTGATTTTAATTTAAATGTAATTTTTAGACGCCAATGACAAATACTCTGAATCTCATAGGACGTCAGGGCGCCACATATACAAATTGCGTAAGTCGTAAATATATATACACGGAAATTATTTCATTTCTTTGGTTCGACGCTTAAGGAGCGGCTCGCCGTTCAGTTTGTAGCCTCGCCGGTTTGTTGCCCCAATCGAGCGTCCATTCTGACCGGACGATATCAACATAATCATCTAACGGTGAACAACTCTATCGCCGGTGGTTGCAGTAGCGCGCAATGGCAACAATTACGAGAGCCGAAAACGTTCGCCGCCGTTTTGCATAGCGTCGGATACAAGACCTTTTATGCGGGGAAATATCTAAACCAGGTAAAAAAAATATATCCGGATGCTTATTCGACTGAGGAAAATTTCTTTTTGCGATGCTCACGAATATGGTTATAAGCATAATTTTATCTACTTTTATGATTTATTTGAATTTTGTACAAGAGTTCTTTTATTTCAAAATTTGGAGTCTAACATATTCGAAGTAAAAATTGGATTTAAAAATTTTTTTCACTTTTCTTCCATAATTATTATTTATAATTGATTAAAGTGAAATAAACGCGTATACGTTGCAGTATGGAAACAAGAAGGTCGGCGGAGCGGCTCATGTACCAGTGGGCTGGGACTGGTGGGCCGGTCTTGTAGGAAACTCGAGGTATTACGATTATTCGTTATCCATAAACGGTACCGAGAGAAATTACGGTAACAGCCCGAGCGATTACCTTACCGACGTTATCGTGAGTACACTGAAAACTGAAACTGCTCGACATACAACCGCGAGAGTAAAAATCTTGTCTGGTTCAAGGGTAGCGAATAAAATTGCATTTGCACCGCGGTTTTTTTATCATCTCTTTGAACAGACTATTAAAAGACTCATTTCTACGCAAAGATTTTTTTCTCTATTGAAAAAAAGAAAACTTTTGGCACTGGAATCGAACAACGTTTTTGCTCTTCATCGTACACGAGAATTTAAAATATTTTTGTCGCAGTCATTTGAGCTCGTGTCACGATGCGCAGGATTAAGCTCGTTAATGAAAGAAAAAAAATAACAAAAAAGCCGTGTACATATTCCAGAGTAATCTGGCTATAGATTTTATCAAAGAATACTCCGGTGATCAACCTTTTCTCATGGTGTTGGCACCTCCAGCCCCTCACGCGCCATTTACACCCGCCGACAGACACAACGGCAAATACAACGGCACGAAAGCAAAGAGAACGCCGAATTTTAATGTGCCCGTGCATCAGGTTATAGCATATTTATCCAGCATAACGATTATGAATCTTTTCCGAAATTATCCGGATAAAGATTTAAAGACCATTTTAGATGGTCTATGTAATTCATGTTAAAAATCAGAATGGAATACTATTTATAATCTTATGTACTGTGTATGGAAAGCAATTGAAAAATCAAAGAACACACACACACATACAAAAAATACTCACGTACTATAATATACACGATATATAAAACTGTAAATAGAATTCTATCCTGAAATCTGACGCAAATGTAGATCGTCTTAAGTGAGCTTTATTCTTGAAAAATAGGATAAACATTGGTTAGTTAGAGAAGGTCCAACTCCCTTACCTGACAATATATTACCAAAATTAGACGAGATATACAGGAGGAGATGGGAAGCTTTACTAGCGGTAGACGAACTTGTTAAGGACGTACACGATTTACTGAAAGCGCGGAATTTCTTGGACGACACTTACTTTATTTACACGTCCGACAACGGATATCACATTGGTAGGTGACTCAATGACATATCTGACACGCTATATTGAGCTTTTATCGTGGTGCCATTTTAAATTTTCACCGCTGATTTTGAGAGCCCGACATATAATACATTTTTTTTTTTAATTACACTTTTATCGTATTAACGAAAATAGCACTAAAATTATATAATATATTTATATGAGTTTTCTACACCTTATATGGGGGTGTGTATACGAGGCGTGCATTATTTCGATAGGACAGTTCAGCATGCCAATGGATAAGCGTCAACCGTATGAAACAGATATACGTGTCCCATTACTGATATCCGGGCCGAGAATCGAGCCGTCTACGATTTCCGCGCCGGTCAGTAGCGTAGATATCTTTGCCACGCTTTTAAACATAGCCGGCGTGGTGTATCCGTCGGACGGCACGACATTATTTAGTACATATCGTTCCGTGCCGCGAGATCGTACCGTTCTGATAGAATACAGAGGGGAGAGATCCAACAAGCCGCCGTCATCCGGTTGTCCAAGCGACAACGATTTGAACGTCACGGCAAGTTTCATAGACTCAGACTCAATTTTTCAAACTGAATTGTTTTCGAACTATTGTTTTTCTTTGAATTACCACATTAATTAGGCCCGTCGTACGCCTTTTTAGTTGTGCGCGAAAGAGATGGCGTGTAAATGCCAAGACGCCGCGAACAACACGTTCAGTTGCATTCGCCGCGTTTCGCCGAACTTCAACAACATCTTCTGCATCTTCGAAGACGATCAGGTAGGATCCGCCCGTCGTTCCTTTAACACTCGAAAGGAGATAATGCGTTTCGCGCATTACGCATTTTTGTTATCTTCTTCAGAGATTTATCGAGGCTTACGATATGAATATCGATGAGTACCAAATGGCAAATATCGGGTATACCATGGAGAAGGGATTGAGACACAGATTCAGGAAGCGTCTGAAGAGAATGGCGGTGTGTCAGGGCGCAGAATGCATTCTCGCAAGCTTGGGAAGTAAATCTGAATACATTTATTAATCCCTGTCTTTTATTACTTTTTTATACATAGGTATTGTCATGTGTGTTATAAAGTGTAATAAAATATATGTATACCTTAAATCATGTATATCCCATTAAAAAAATTATGCTTTAAGATATATATTTATATATGAATTTATTTCCGTTTTCAACTAAATTGTTTTCTCTTGTATATTTACGTTTTGTTTTAGTGTCATGAAGTTAGTTTTCAAAACTCGAAATTACAACTATGATGATTTTTTGTATTTTAACTCTCGTTTAAGCTCTTAGTTAGCTTATTTTGGAAAAAAAAGATAAATATTTTAAAGTACCACTCGATATAAAATAATATTAATGGAATATATATGTACATGTGTAATTGCATATGTATATATGTATAATTATAAATATACATATAGCATATTATATAGCATTATATACATTATGTATATTTAATTTATTATCACTCGAAAAATACAGCCTAAGCGACCAATATTCACGCGACTTTTTCAATGCTTGTTTTCGGCTCCAAATTCACCCCCTGAGGTATTGATATATAATTAAGAATCATCCTACATATACCGTCCGTTCTAGATCGGAAGTATATGAGCGCCGAAAGTTGTCTTATTTCGAATTATTGCATTTATGGAAATCGCCGTCGGAGAATACGCCGCGAATCTGGATATAAGAATAACTCGCCTTGCGCTCGGGCGGGAGGGGCGCAGCACCCCCCGCGACGGAACTGTTTTCTAAGCAAATATTTTTATTAAAGCCCCGCGGAGAGAGTCTCGAATATCTGAATAGCAATGGCGATATTCGCGGTGGAAAAAGGGGGGCACGGGGCGGCGGCGCGGGGGAGGAGGGGAGAAGAAGGTGGTGGAAAAAAGCCGAGCGCCGAAGACAGAACGTCTCGCGAGGCTATATCGGACGTGTACATATTTATATTGCTAAAACGTTTCTGGTTCCTCCGGAGGATTTGCAGCGATGCGCGCGAGAAACAACGATCCTCGCTACTCGATATAGGTACTTTAGCTTGCTCGCGCTATTATTTCACGTGTAAGCGATATAAGCCATTTCGATTCGCGCGCAGCACAGGTGAAACGTGGAGAAATAATAGCGAATACAATGTGCGTGATTGTTATATTTAAGCAGATGAATATGGGAAATGAATACGTATGGGGAATTGAACGTGAGCGCGTCAATTCTTTTATTTCTATTTTCATTATACTATAAATTATTCAACTTATAATTATATTTATTTCTATATGTTATTTCTCATTATATACTATAATGCATGTTGAATACGAGAAGAAGTCGAACGGTGTATCTCTCGGTGCACACGCGACCGAGGAATGGCTAGATGCCGGCGCATGCACGAAATATTCTTCAAAGTGCAACGAGGCTGGTGCGAGTGTGCCGGGCGGCGCACAAAGCGTCCTGGATTCGCCCCTTTCGGTGTCAAGGAGCGTGAGAGACGCTCTTTCACGTAACGTGAATGAACGTCAAAATGTTTGTAGACTACGGCGGTAGCCGGCCACGGGCCCGTGGGCCCGTTTAATCGTTTGCACAGATGGCATTAGGACGAATCTATCGGCCGCGTGCGCGAAGATCGTCTTTGAGATTATTCGTTAGCGTATATATATATATAGTTGCGGGGCGTTTTCTCGGCGCGGACAAAGCCGAGGAGATCGGGGCTTATTCCGCAAGATTTGCATTTTTTGCGATCCGCCCGCGGAAAATGGGCGAAAATGAATGCGCGCGGAGAGGAATTCGAAATCGAATGGAACAAACGCGGGGATAGAGAGGATTTGCGGGACGACAGCGGGATTGCGAAAATTCTAATTTTCGAAAGCATTTGCACTTCGCGATTAAAACTGTTTGTCTTATAAAATTGCGCGCATTAATCGTTCGAAAAATATTCGAGAAGAATAGATATCTTTCTCGAGTTTATACAATAGCACGTCTCTTCAATTTCTTTCCGGATTTTTGCGAATCGATATTTCATTGATATAAGTACTTACATAGCGATTCGATTCGATGCAGTTTGCGATCTACGTGTAACTCAGTTGTATTTTCCTCGACAGGGAGGCACAACGCGGACGAAGCGAATGCTTATTGTACGAGGATTTTGGCGGATCATTCGATCCTCGATCGATCGCTCGATTGAGCGTCCATTGATCTTCGTTACATCGCTGCTGAAACGTGTAAGAGTCGGCTTGCGGACGGGCCCCTTTATTCTGTGTTTATTGATCGTTCGAGCGAACGATCGCCTCCTTGTTGGCGAGGATCAATGGCTTTCGTTGCCTTTCTAGCCGTAGATCCAGGCTTTACTTTCGTCCCTCCACTCCCCCTCCCTCCTCCCCTTTCTCGCTCTATCCGGGAGTTCCACGGCAGATACTTATGCCAAGTTGCACTTATATCGCAGGGAGAATTACAAAAGGGATCGATCTATCTTGAAAAGAGATCGCCGGGTCTCCTAGAAAAAAGATTTACATATATTAAATACATACAAGTTTGCTGTACAAGTATATACTTATACCATGGATGCTTTGATTTTGAAAGAAATGAGCGTTTTGTTCAGTTTTACAACTGCAATGTTTTACTTTCTACTTGCCGTTAATCAGCCGCGATATATACGTTTCATCGCTCAAATGTCAATCTATCGGTTATTACATAATAATAATATCATCTAATTATAATATTGTAGAATAATAGTAATATTATGCAAATGTTAAAACGATTTGGCGATTTCTGCCTCGTTATCGCGATAACGGCGCAGCTGCACTTGATAGAACGAGATCTCCCGATCTCGTTCTTTTAAGATCGAAAATCACGAGAGGGTACGTCGGGCGCATTAAAAACTAAGAAATTCACAATCTCGAGCTTCCCGGTGATCTGCCTTCAAACGGCATCCCTTGTTATTCGATAATTAGCCGTTCCCTCTTTCGGTGTAACCCGGCGCGAAGCGAAGCGTATCCTCTGATTTTCCTTTGGCCGACTCGCGTCTTCTCCTCTCTCTTTCTCTCCTTCTTTACGACTTCCACTTCGAGACCGGCAACGCGGAAAATGCGAATTTACTGTAAATTAGTGAATTGGAAAATAACGGAGTGGAAACGCTTCTTTTCTGACGGACTTCACGACGATCGTGTTGTACGCGTAACAAGATCCGAGACCATAAATCATAATTGATAAAACGGCGAAATTATTAGAGCCCCCTTAAATCAGCAGACAAAGCAGAAATCGTCAAAAACAACCTAATGAAATTTTTCATTTCAAAGAGTAATATAAATCTACAATAGGTTATTAAAAAGAGAAAATATGAAAAATAGATAACGGTAATTTGAAAAATATGATATAATAATATATTGCAGTAAAAATTAATCCCTCCGTTTAAGCTACAAATAGTAATGATTCGACATTCAACTTTAAACATACATATTAACATGTAATCATAACTGTAATTACATTACTATAATTTTCTTTCTAATTACTGTTTTCCATTATCTACATATTTCACTTTTTGTATGGATTTACATTATCCTTTTCTTCATTGAAAAATTCCTGAACCGCACTTTTTTCGAGGATAAATGTATGGCTATAAAATTGCCGGAGGCTGATTCACGCTGTAACTCGCTTATTCGTGCGTTAAACGACGCATCGATTCGAGTGTCACATCACCGTCGGCTAATTATAGCCTTACCTAATTTTCCGCGTGCGCGATACAAAAGAGCGACGTGGGGGAAGGGGGGGGGAACCAGGGGGCGCGTCTTTAATTACCGATCCATTTCTGCATAAATGCGCCGCGGAACGTAGCCCGCCCCGCCGCGCCGCGCGCGCGCCCGCCTGGCGATGAAACTCGCATTACCGGTGCCGGCTTATACGAACTACAGTAGTCTAATCAAACACAGAGCTATTAACCGGGTCAACATTTCGAGTTTGGGGGTACTTAGTGCCAAAGACTTCGCGGTACCTATGTCAATGACGCGCGCGCACGCACACACGCGCGTGTACTCGACGCTGCACGCATACAGTCGCGCGCGCACTCATCGTCGAGTACCAACGGCGAGCAACGAGTAGCGAGGCGGCCGTGTCGGGCGGCCTTAAATAAATATCTAATGTGCCCAACCCCCGGCTGAACTCCCCCCCCTCTCTCTCCCTCCCTCTCGCGTCGCCGGTCGGTCCCCGCCAATATTGTTTTAGGCACGGCGAGGAGGCACGGCAAGCCGAGTTTTGTAACTTGAGAAACGAGCGCGACTCGCGTGCAGAAGCGGCGAGAAGACGGCATAATAGCTAGGTGTTCGAAGATCTCGTCAAGTACTTAAGCTCGCGGATACTGCTACCGCACGGCCAGTACCAGGCGCTTTCCCCGAGAGATTTAGAGTATATATGTAAATTCTCTCCCGAAAGAAAAATATATTGGGGGCACTAATAGGCTGGAGGGTGGTAATCGTCTGCATTTCACGAAATAAGCTTCAAAGATAATACATAGGACAAACGGTATTTTCTCCTGTAATTATTCCAATAATATTGATGTATATAATAATTTTGTAATATATATAATATTATAATACACACACACACACACACACACACACACATATTTATTTATTTATTTGTTTAATATTCAGCCTTCAATACATTTGCGATCAATGACATTTATATTTCACTTGCTGCTAAAATATAGGTTTCTTAAAGCACAATATTATATACATATAATTCGCGAGAATAAGTTCTTATTACCTGGTTATCCTTACAGCAAAGATCGATCGTGCTGCATATATATAGATGTCCGAAGCGGAATGTTAAAAAATTATTGGCCGGCCGAGAGATTAAACTTCAAGGAAAATTTCCTCGGGAATGGTCAAGAGATTTGTAAATAAAAGTACGGAGAACCCGAGATATGTATCCTGTATATATATATACATATATATGTATAATCGTACGTTCTGCTCCGTTTTCATCACACGCTCAACCTCTTTTCGCCTCTCGTAGCTCGCAGCTGCTACTTCCGTAGCCGCCCATTTGCCGCGGAAAGTGCCACTTTGTTTGCGGAAAAGTGCTTTTTCAAAGAAAAAATCACGCGGACGTAATACGCGTAATGCCGTCCGCTCGTCGGAAAATATACCTTCTCTCGGGCGAAAAAACGGTCCTTTGCGTGCAGCGCGCAACGTACGTCCTTTTTGAAGTTCAGCGAAATATCGCGCGCGCTTT